TAAACCGAGAGCTGTTTCTGTGCTGGCCTGAAATCTATCTTGAACGAGGATTGTTCGACTTTTCCACGCGGCAAACAATGTTCATCATCTTTTTTCGATAATTAAGACGGTTTCCCTCGTGAGATTGCACGCGTTACGACACGTGTCATTTAATCAAAATGTTATTGTAATTCTAGTAAGGTAAGGCAAAACAAACAAAAGAAAAAAAATGAACAAAAAGAAACGAGCGGGCGAGCGCGCGTTTTAAATAAAAAGAACAAAAAAAGAAAAAAGAAGAGGAAAGAGGAAGAAACACATCGACTGATTATCGTTAAGGGTGGATCGCTAGAACGAAGATTAGCGGCGATTTTTATTATCTAAAATTTAGTGATAGAAATTTTGCTATTTATTACGATGTACTAGGATACGCTTGTTTACGTATCAAACACGAATAAGGCACACGAGACATGCTAATTTTCGTTTGGCCGTCCATTCCGCCAGACTTTTAAACGCACGACGACTTTTTTCACTTTCTTTCCTCGTTGTTTCTTGAGCTTTTCATCGATTCTTGGATCTCGAGTCTGTGGGTCGCGGCTAAGTCTTCACGGTTTCGATACGATTTAATCGGGTTTAGAGTGCACGAAAAAGAATATTTCTATAAATATAATACGCGCTGTACAGCAATAAAGTATTGGGATACATCGATCGAGATACGAAAGAGATAAAAAGGAGAAGAAAATTTACAAAATTTATAGCGTGTCCATTTCTCTACTAGGAAAGGCGAATTAAAAAAGATATATTACGTATACAATGTACAGGGTGTTTCAAGGTATATGCTGTTATATTAAGGAAACTATTGTCGGCTATGCTATAATCTTAGATTTTACGCAGATTTATTAAATTTCTTCTCTTTTTTCTAGTCCTATATTAATACAGAAACAAGAAAAGAAAAATTCCTCTCTAGTTCTTCAAATTTCACATAGTTCATCAAACAATAATTTACAAGACATTTGCCTCGAGATACCCGGTAAGAATATCGAGAATAATACGATTTCGAGACCAAGTCTATCGAGAAGAAAATGAATATTTGGTAAAGAATAAAGAAAACTTTATTTATGCGTCGATGTTAATCACGATACTATATTGCTCGGATCTCTCCTGGTATACGCAACAACACACAAAAAAAGAAGCACTTTAAAGAAATAAAAAAAAAAATGGGAATCACTAGTGTATATATACAGGACCACAGGTTCGTTAATTTTACTATACGAGAAACACGAACGTTCTTCGGATTAGAAAACAAAAGGACAAAAGGAAATAACAAAGATACAAAAAAAAAAAGAAAAACGATGAGAAAAAAAAGAGAAGAATAGTGAATATAGTTGATGAATGCGTGTCTTGTTGCGCGCCTGACGGACCGTGACCGGTCCACGCTGTTCGCGAGTCCGTACGCCATGTTTTAGGCGCACAATCAAGGAAGTGTATAGTGTTTAAACTCGCAGCAAAGAGCAGAACAAACTCTCCCCCTCAAAGCCCTTGTTACGAGCCAGCAGTTGAACAATGATGTCTGATTTTTATCGCCAGAGAGCAGTAATAGCACAAGTGAAACCGTTTCTAAGTACATTTGTTATACACGCATATTGTTATCATTGCCACGTAAAAGCAATTATTAACTCCATAGCCTGGGCCATTGTTAGGTGAACGAGAGAGCTAGAGACTGTTTCTTGAAGCTGGTTTGCACCAACTCACCGTTCCCTTCGTTTGCTCTTTTGTATGTAGCTGTTAATCCGTTTTGATATTTTCTTCCGATATCATTGCGCTTTAACTGACCGACTAATTCCGTATGATACACACATACAATGCTATCTTAATTGAACCTTGTTTCGCTCGTTTTTCTTTCCGTTACGTGTATATAATTTTCTCAAACGATGCTTTACGAAGTGTATTTAACAGGGAGATGAACCACAGATAACCTCTAAACTGAAGATTTAAAAAATTGGTAGGAATATCGATAACACTACTTATTGCCAATTGCAATGTGCAATAAATAATGTCATCGTTAGAGAATAGAGCATAAAATTTCGGTTTAAAGGTTGAATGAGAAACAGAGTATACGTTCCTTTTTCTTTTCTTCGTTATTTTCTAAATGCTCTTACTTTCTCCCGAGTTTCCAACTATAAAATTTGTTTCTAACTATTTACATTTATTTTGATAATTTCACATTGGTGTAAACCTGCATCAAAGAAAATACGAGAAAGAGATTATCGTAATAACTGCCGATTACTCGGTAACAATGGCAACGCCCATACATACGAAGTCTGTAATCGAAATGCTTTATATTTTTACACCGAACAAAGCAGTATATAACGTACAATAAACAATAAAACATGTCCTTCCATACGCAACCTCAAGATGACAAATGTTAAATTTTTATTTTTACAACAGCCCACTATCACTTCCGATATCTGAGCTATATTCGAGCATATTCATAGTTGAGACTATTTAAGTAGGATTAATTGAGACAAAGTCGGATAGGAGTTCATTTTAATCGACTCACGAGATTTACGATTTCTACTCGACTCGATCGTCTATTGTAATATATGCAATTATAAACGATACGACAGTTTACGCTAGTGATATTATTGTATAATGTCGACGTTTCACACCTATACACATATACACACACGTGTACACCTGCGTGTGTGCATGCATGACACATACACAAAGACATTTATGTGATCTTACCGTGCGCTACATTTCGATAAAGATTTTGCAACTGTTCGTTTGTTTGGTCGTAAAAAGAAAGAATATCGTCTAACATGTTTTTGTTTCAAATAAAACAGCAAAAAGGAATAAATGAAGCGGGCTCAAAACGGTCTGTCCAGATACTACTGTCTTATGCTCCATCTGTTGCACGAAACTTTAGTTCTAACATACGCAGCTCTCGTATATAATTCGTATATAATTTTCAATGAAAATCAAAAAACGAAGAACCGATCGGTACCAAAAAATAAATCTCATACATTAAGTCATTAACTTCGTAAAAAAAAAAAAGGGGATGTACATATGTATTTAAGATAGCTATATATTATTATATATACAGACATACACACATAACACATCAGACATCTCACACACATATACATATACATATATGTAATATGTGAAGGTTTTCGATGTGCTGTTAATTGCAAATTAATCTAATTGTTGAATACTTTTCTTGTTACTCACCCTTCGATGATCGTAGTCGAAGTAAACCGATTCCCGAAATCTGGTTGGCAATGTGATTATTCAATAGCGTAGCTTTTTTCATTTGTTTACTCGCTTACGAATCTTACACCTATGAAGGAAACTTTCATAAAATACACTTTCTCCGTGTACTTGATGTTTCTTAATGTCTTATTTATACACACTTGATACTTTAACCACAATCTATTTCATTATAACGAAAAGACCATATTTAAACCGATAAAATAGATTTTCGTATGTAGTTTGACTCTGATGCGTCACCGAAAAATCGCACGTTGCCAACTGAACGTTTAGAAATGTATTATTTTGAATTCGCGTTATGCCAAACTGATCGACCATTTGAATGTCAAAAATAAACAGCACGTGTGACAACCTTCGATGTAATACCGCCGATATCCAATTAGAAAAGCGCCAAATTCGAACGGTTCTTTATTTACTTTGTGTTCTTTTTTTCTCTTTGGAACTGTTGTAATGCTTATTTAATTGGCAATCGGCGTCGATTACTTAATTCCATGATCTCCTACAGGGATTATCGATTACAAAGTGGAATTAACGAAAAATTTCGTTTATAATATCGAATAAGATTTGAAAATACAATATATTTCCCGAGATGCATTCGGAATGATCGTTCGAAGAATGTCGATTTTTCTTAAATTACAAACGTACGTAATACCTCAGAGTCATTACGATATCAATACGTAAAAATAACGAAACATTTGTGATTCGTGATGTATCGTAGATTATTACCGGGATATTGGTAATTTCGTACGACAAATAATAAAATATATACGAACCCAAGTATTTATGTACATCGACGAAAATTTTCGAATTACGGCAACCATGATGGATTCTATGCACTTCCCTCTCACTGTAAAAAATACCATTCGAGATATCGATCAGATGTTTCGAATTTTCCCGCAAGTTTCATTCGAGAGTTGTTACTAATGTCAATCTTCAATTTCTATATTCTTCTTAGAGTAAGGACTTTTGTATTATGAGTTAAAAGTACTATTTCTAAGATTAATTACGAAGACCATTAAGAAAACGTTAAAAAATAATTTATGTTTTTAAAAATATCTCGAGTATGCCGTAAGGACAACCGTACTGACCTGTACGTGAAAGTATACGTATCCGACAAGGGAACTTTAAATCTTTCGATATCGCGTAAATACGAAGGAATCTTCCTTGAGGGCGCAAGCGTTTCGCATCGTTTTCAAATTCAGAGCGTATTTTGAATCTGATAGGAGGATGGGAAAATGGCGCGAGAATACAAATTGTAAAATTTCGAATTTGTAACTTTTCATAATTTTGAACAAGAAGAAGTAACAAAAATGTGAGATGAAATTCCGTTTTTGAAATTTATTTGAGGAAAGTTCCTTCGTAATATTTCACGCGTATAAATAAACATTTTTAATATTTCACATTTTATCACAATCTTCATCGAAGTCGTTCAAATGCGAAGACAGTCTTTTTCGTCTCGAAGATAACGTTAAACTTATTTTACACGCATCGAATGTTAGGACTGTGTTCGTATTACGATAGTTGTTAGCGAATGAACGTTTCTCGGTCCCTAGAAAAGAAAATAATCATAAAAAAAAAAGAGATCGAATTTTTCGTGAAGAGAGAGTACACATATACACGCTTACTGGGAAACATGTATATGTACTTAAAAACGTCTTTGTGCAAAATTGATGAATGTTTTACGTGTACTAAAATGTTCCCTTTTAATCCTATTAAGACTTACAAAATATAAGTATTATACTTTACTTGTATATATACATATGTGATAAAAAATATATATATATATACACCTGGTTTTTCATGTCATATTTATATTACATCCTTGTAATTCTTTTTAATATTGAGCAAAGTGGAAATATGAACAATAACACACGTATTCTTTATTACAAGCGAATATCTCATTTTATTTATTAAAACTATTCATTAAATTATCAATTATTCTCCAGGAATATCCAGTCTTAAGTTATCTTACATACCACGTTCAATTACAAAACTCAATTTTATTTGTTTCCCAGTGGAAAATTAAAAATACCGTAATATATGCTTTGGTATTAACGTCACTATCACCCTATAAGAGTCTTCTAACTTATGTACAATTAATGCACATAACTTCTAAATTACATGCTCTTTTAAAACAATAATATAACTAATATCCAAAACCAACTTCTTTAAAAATTATATATTGTTTTGTACAAACTTTATTTCTATTTCTAAACTAAATTTATGTGTATATATATACTAGTGCAAAAGATTTGAGTTAGAAATTAATATAATTTATAATATGTATATCTTCTATGTGTAAATTATTATTTAAAAATATATTCTTATATCGTTGAAAATATAAAAGTACAATCTTTACATTTTTTAAAATCAATTTCTTGGATAAAAAATAATTTAATTGGATAATAAGATTGCATTTTTCTTGCAAAATATTTAATATAAATTTAAGAATTATTAAGTTATATCACATTTATGTCCGAAGCAGTACTGATAGTGGGTAAAGTACTATCGCTCCATTCTGGATGAGGATAACTCCTTAGTGGACTTGGTATGTTAACTGGCATTTTACTTTGCATCCTTATATCTTCAACTATATTCTGAAATTGTTCTGTTATATTAGAGCCTATTAAATTATGAGGCGAACTTTGTTCTTTATTTGACTCCATAGACTTTTTAATTCTATTTGATTCTTGTACATCAGTCTCTTTCTCATGAGCCTTTTTGTTGGACAAATTTAAATGTTCCGATGATGATATTTTATTTGTATCTTTAAAACTTTGTAAATTATAGTTTTTTTTATTACTAAATGTTACTACATCATCTTTTCCTTGATTAACTGAAAAGAAAGATATTAGATTCGTAAAATATTATGATATATATATAATATGTACATATAAAATATATTTACCATATTGGCTAACTTCTGTGCAACCCAGGTCTTTATAAGAAGGTAAAAGGGTAAGTGAAGATTCTCCAGCAGGTAAACTAATAAATTCTAAATTGGCAGAATCTTTAATCGAAGGTTCTTGAACATCCTTGATTTGTTTGTTTTCTAGGTTCTCAATTTGAGTTTCTGAAAAGACTGGTATTTTATTTGATTTATGCAGAAAACCTTGTACATGTTTAATTTTGGATGGATCATGATCCACTGTGGATAAAGAAACATCAGATATATCGTGCCAAGAGGTACGTATATTAGAATCATGTGAAGAGGTAGAAGTAGGCGATGAACATGCACGACGTTCATGAACAATTGGAATTTGTGGATTCGAATTATCTTCGTGAATATAAATATCTTTTAATTGGTCTGCAATGAAATGTTGAACCTTCCTACGATGTAAAATGTAAATATAATTGCCTTATAACATTATTAAATTAGATTGAAATTAAGTAATGCTTCAACTAACTTGATTTCATTAAGATGTTCGATTAATAATGAATGTTTGTATGATGACAAAACTGAAAGTTTATCTTTTTCCAATGTTAAATACTTCACCTCTGAATTCAACTGTCTTACACGTTCAGTTTGTTCAGCGAGATTCGTTCTTAACTCTGCTACAATTTTTTGAGAAGATTCATAATTCTTCATCTCTTCTGTTAATTCGGTTATTGTTTTATCTCTAGCTTGAATAGTTTTTATTGTTTTATCTAATTCTTGTTTTAATGTTTTTTCAATTACTTCTAAATCTAACTGCCTTTTTTGAGCTTCATTTAATAACAATTGTTGTTCATGAACTTGTCTAATTTAAGGACAGGTTATATAAATATAATGCATAAAGTTGTTATAATGTGTTTCTAATACTAAACATACCGCAGTAAAGAATCTCTCTCCTCGCGTAATGCTTCATACATAGAATTCATTTGTCTAGTTGTTTCTAATTTAGCTTCTAAATCCTGCAGCAAATAATTCCATTTCAATATTCAAAGTTTTCAGTATTATCTATTCACTTATCCTTAATAAACATACCACTATAGGTGGTTTACTGGGTTCAATTGGTATTCTAAATACTACTTGCTCCATATCAGCAAGAATTTTATTAGCTTTATCATCTTTAACTAAGTGTTCTAATTCCTTTATTAAAAAATGTAATGTATGAACCGGGTTGAACACACCAAATTTGTCATCAGAATAATCAGATATTCCATCACATTGTACTCCTCTGTCATAAACTATGACAGATTCCACAGTGCTTGGTATTGATGTACTTGATGGATTTGTAATGTATGGTATAGATTTTATATGTTCTTCTATTCTTTTCTGAGAAGTTGATTGCTTGACAGGAACTTCATCTAAAAATTTGTGCTACAAAAAGAAGTGTTTCTAAATTAACTTACGAATAATTTTATGCATATTTAGAGACATATAAATATAAAAATTAATACTAACATCTAGTTTCTGATGATTTAGAAAATGTTTCTTAGTCTCCTTAATATCATTACCATGTTTTGATGATTTTGAACCTGGTACTCTCGTTGCCTCTTGTTTCATAACAGCTTTATTTTGTTCTCTAAACACCCTACCCCAGTTTTGATCACCACTATGACCAGGTTTCTTTTTTTCTTCTACTTTGTGACTAGTTGGGTTACTGCTAACCATAGTTGATGTACGTTTACGGCCCTTGGTTTTCACAATTATTTCTAACAGTTTATCACAATCATAAGATAATCCAGAAGTAGGCTACAAATATATTATATGGCTAGAATTTATGTGACAAGAAAACCTGTAACTATAAGAATATTTCAATTTTTGGTTACCAAATGGTGGTTACTTTCCACCGTATTTTTGTTACTGCGGGTAGCAACAGCTTTCCTAGCAGAGCTCATTTTGCTACTCATTATAATAAAATGGTAGAAAAATGTGTTTTTATACCAAACAAATATTTAAACTTGCAAATCGATTTCCACCAACCATAGACATAATTCATTTAACCTAATATTTTAAAGAATACATTCACATTATACATCGAACAACATACCATAATATATTGTAAAATTCGCCAGCATACTTATCTTGGCGTTTACGATGTGTACACCATCTTGTATGATTGAATAATTTTGAACTATCATTTTATCGTTGTACTTATTATACAAAAAGTATAATAGAAATATCTAATATATTTTCTTTAGTTTTGAAACAATTTATCTCATATAATTTAATAAATACTTTATACTTTACATATTTAAAATTGACTCCAAATATGAAATTGCAGTCTTTTAAATTCTTGCTTCTTGTATATAAAACCTATTAAAATCATACAGACGCGCATCTCAAAACAGTTTAAGGGTTTTCTGTTTCCACGTTACAATTCAAGTAAATATAAATTAAATACATATATTATCTTGGTAGTGTACCATGTTTTTCTTATCTTTATGTAGATGTGGCATTTTCAAAAAAGTGAAGTCAAATGTAAAATTATTAATTATGTAAATTTTTATTTTTACAGCAATATGGAATAGTGATTCAATTTGTACATAATTATACATATAATTAAATATTTTTGGGTACATGATATACGCAATTCGTTTTTTAACTCTTTTGATATAATATTCAATAGTTAATTTGTAATAATACACTTATTTGTACAATTAGGTTATTATATAAAAATTATATTGAAAATATTGCAACCTAGATTATTAATTACAACAAAAATTACATACTCTATATCATTTATTATGTTTCGTTAATATACTGACAAGCTTATTCCTATGTTCACTTAAAATCTCATAAAATTTGTCAAAAAATAATTTAGCAGATTCCTCTATATACGCTTTTCTTCTTTGAGCTGCATCCAGTTTATCCGTTGCTTCCTCTAACTCTGCAGCAAGTTGTTGTGTATTTGGCATCAAACCTTGAACTTCTCTGATATCATTTTGCAGATTTTTTATTTGTTCCCTTAATTTTGTTTCTTCGTGCTTAGCATCAGCTTTGATTTTACTTATAAGGCCTTTCTTTTCTTTAATCTTACTGGCAACATCATTACTTTCATCTTCTAGAATTTTTTTTCTCTCTTGAAGATTCTCTAATTCATTAGTATTTGATTCTAACAAACATTCTTTTTCATTAATTTGAGATTTCAACAATTCTTTCAAATCATTTATTAAATTAGCTTTAGTATTTAATACTTCCATAATTTCGGGTTGCAATATACCTTTCTCTGGCATCTTTAGCTCCTCTAGATTCACACCCAGATCCCCACTAAGATGCATAAATATTTCTTTATTATATGTTAGAATTGCCTTAGTTAAATTATTATTAATAGATGCTAATTTAATGTCCATAGTGTATATTTCTTTTTGTATCTCTTGTAAATATTCATCAAACTGGTGCATGTAATCCTGAATTTCTGTACATTTATTTAAAATTTTGTCTCTTTCTGTCTTAGACATTGGTTGCTGCTTAATAATAGAAAGTAACTCATTATGCTGCGTGTCTTGTAAACAAATTTGTTCACTCAATACATTGCACTCAACTTTGATTTGATCTACTTCGAAATTAATTTTTTTAATATATTCCTCTTTTGCACTGATATCACTCAGTTGCATTTTTTCATCGTTCTGTAAAGATGAAAGTACTTCCTGTAAATGTTTTACTTCTTCATCTATTTTATTTGAATTTGTTTCAGCTGCTTGTAATTTAAGCATTTCTTCCTCTAGCTCAGAACGCGCAGCATTCAAGTCTTCTTCATTTATACCTTGCTGTTCTTCAATTTCTTGTAAATATTTTTCGATCATTAACGCTTCCTCATCCAATTTCTCATCATTCCAGGCATTATAAAAATTTAGCATTGAGAAAAAAGCATTTTTATTAATTACTGCGTTTATTTGATTCCCTACAAATGGTAGGTCCTCTAAATTATACTTTGTAAAAGCTATTTCCCTTATTTCACAAATTTCTACTAGCCAACATATCCAGCCCAAAACATTTGGCCAAGAATGCATAGCATTAGCAGTTTTTAACCAAGATTTATTAATAATTCCTGGATAGTGGAGTTTTTTTGCAACCTTTGGCAATTCCTCTACATAATTTGTGATTGTAAAAATTTGTTTAATGTCCAAGATTTTTACTAAATATCCAGAGACTTCAACAAACATTTTTAAGGTAACAGGTTTTAAGCTTCCATTGCTATTAATCATAGAAGAACAATGATTTATAGCTAAAAAGTTATCAATTTTACTAAGCATATGAGCCTGATATATTTTGTCTGTTAATGGTCTTGTATCTTTTCTAGGACCTTTAGCACCGATACTGCTAGCACGGTCAGCTGATAAAGATCTACGTCCTGTTGGAAGTCCTGCATGAATTTTGCTTGAACTTCCTGCTGTAAGAAGACCAGCAGGCTTGCTAGCATTTGTTATTGGTGTCTTTGGAGTTGTCGGTACTTGACGAAGTGGAGTTTTAGCTATAAAAATAGTAATAAACATTTATATTTATATTTAGACTATATACATTTATATGTAAAGCATTTGTTATATTTAAAATAGAAAAAAGGGCATTTTAAACTTTTACCTGTTGTTTTTAATACCGATCCCTTAATACTTATTCTATCACACGAAGAAGCTCGCATTCGAGGCCTTGGTATATGAGAATTTTCACTTGAGAAAATCTTTGGTTTTAATGTTTGTGTTTTTCTCGATTCTGTCCGCATGAAACTTTTATCTTCCCTACCAAACAAAGATATCCTTACGGGATTCGTAGATGATCTGCGCCCTAAAGAGTTACCCGGCATTTCGATTCAAATAAAATATATTTTCACATTAAAAAACTATTAATTAATTAATTAATAACTATTAAACTAAATAAAAATTGTATTTAAAAAAACTGGAAGTTTCAATATGTGGTTTTAACATTCAGAGCAGTATAAGCAAGCATTTTGAATTTCGTCGTTAGATATAGAACTATAAGATATAAGATTGGTAACTTGAGTAGTATATATGTTATGGTTATACAGTAGTTCATTTAGGATGTATGCCACCCATTGTATGCTTCTGAAATAAATTAAAACGTCAATAATTGAAAAAATTGTATTTTTTATTATTTCTGGTTTATGTATCAAATTTAGTTGTAATATATAAATATTAGGTAAATATCTCAATTATCTCAAGATTATCTTGTGTTTTAAGGTTCTTAAGCAATTAGCATCTCTGTTCTTACTTTTCTTAATACGAGATGTTAACCATACTTGAATTCAAGCATGTTTATTTAAATATAATAAACTAGAATATAATATAATAATGTAGTAATGGAAAAAATGTATTAATCTGTAAATATATATAAATTTTTAGATAAACTTATGTTTTATGTGTGAATATGAACAAAATAATACAAAAATTAGATAAAATCTAAGCAGTAATGTTGAAAACATGGTGTAAATTAACTAATACGTTTAAGATAAAAAAGGTAGATAGCATTTTTTCTTTCTTTAACGTACAATTATACGTATCACTTATTAATATGAAAAAGAGAAAGAACATAATTTGTTATATAATTCAAATGATATATTGGTGTAGAATTTATGGGTTCAACCACTAACAAAATGCTCTACAGTGACGAAAAGGAATATCAAAAATAATCTTGTGCAGTTTTCAAAATACAAAGCTAAAATTTTACAACTAGTTAATACAAGTAAATTGGACGATTTAACACAGTGAGTAAGTTATTGGTAATATTTAAATGATAATATTTAATCTATTTATCTGATTGTTTATGTTATTTAAATATAGATTCATATCGGCATCACATGCTGAAACATTAATATCGAAGCGTACCAGCAACGGACTTTATAAATCATTAAATGATGTTTTATTAAAGACTAAAATAGATGTCGATAGTTGGAATAATTTTTGTACTTCATTCATTAATCATTACAAGAAGCAGCAATGGAAGAACTTGATAAAATCTGACATAAACACAACAGCAGTACAGAAACAATAATATATTTATATTACTTCTAACAGTCGAATAGCGTTAGGTAGTGCATTATGTTAAAAAAATAAACTGTTTCAGATGCCAGCAACGCTATTGGGTATATATGTAGGACCCACTGCAATAACTTGGTCATTAGTAGATCGTAATTTTAACGTGTTAGCTTGGGATTCCATAATTTGGTGGAATAAGTTTCCGAAATATGATGTAATCAAATTGGTGAATATCTTAAATCTGATATTTCAAAGTAAAAGAGATTTACTACTTTACTTAACACTTATATGAACTTTAGGTACGACTTTTTGTTGAACAATTACCACTATGTAGTTCTTATGTGATGGAAGAACTTATAATTAATAGATCACGTGGTACTTCATACATGATGCAACATCAGATAATCAGTTCTATTGTAAGCTGTATTAAATTAATACAGTATCGAAGTATGTTTATACAATTATAGCAGAATTATTAACAATATAGCAGAAACAAATAATGCTTGCTAAACTTTCTGTAAACTAATTTTTCTAGGAACAAATAATTCGGATTCATTAGCAAATATTCTGTACATATTAAAACCTTTGACGACAGCGCGTTTTTTTAACCTTATGGTTGCATCTGAAGTAATTGCTGTAGATTACTTTATTAAGAAAATACTAGATGATACCAAGACAGATAATGAATTGTTACGGGATATACACATAGCCTATGAATTAAAAGAAAAATATATGGGAAAAGTCCCAGGTGAAAGAGAACAGATGGGCAAGTCTCTATTGACAACTTTAGCTTGTTTACATATTATTAGAAATTGTATGTCTTGATGTATAATCTAATTTTATTAATAAAATTTGTTATTGTTTATTAATTAAAAATTTAATTTATACGAAAAATGTGAATATCGCAAAAATTTTAATAAGAAAACCACTAGGTACGAGAATAATAAAAAAGAGAATGAAAAAGAAAGGAAAGATGTTACTATGTTACACGTGGAAGAAATTAAGAAATGAAATATAGCGGCTTACCTAAACAAAACCAAATTATAAATGTAAAAATCATGTTTTTATTAGCAGAAAGCATTTTGTTACTTATGTTCGACAAAAAAATCAGATGTAGATTAATTTCGTGTTAGTACACTATCTTATAATATTATTTTATTGTATAAATAGATATAAATAAATTAAATTCAATATAAACATTTGCTGTTTTTCTTACAAAGTATAACATAGTTAAATGTTATAACATTTTTTTCAAGAAACAATTTTTTTGGAAACATATAGTACGAAGAAATATGTGTTCAAGGAAGCTTCATATCAAGTTTTTGTATAACAGCTCAAGGCTCAGGACTTCAAGGTTAGTACAATGTATAGAGGTCCACTCATTTATTATATATTATTTTTATTATACTATCATACTATCAACACATAGTACAGTGTAATTTAATATATCTTGCTCCTAAATACAAATGCCTTTTAATTAAATAAACAGGTAAGTAAACGATTGGTCACAATAGTAGCGGTAATATTATATACCGGCATGTATGTACCATTGTGAGCATCGAGTAAGTATCTGAGAGCAAGATATCCGAAAAGTGACTATTGCAACAAATTTGTACGGTCAACTAAAAATCAATATGTTTAGACAATACTTTTGTACCCAAACCCATAATGTTAAATTAGGTACATTTATTGAAAAGATAATAACACCGCTACTTAATCCGGCAGTGATGCTGTAAAAGAACGTTATTATTTAATCGAATATGCATAAGCACACCACAAAGTTCTCCACTGTATGTATCTGATGACGTTTCAAAAAAGTGGTAGCTCAAAACAACAAACGGTAAATGATAGTACATGTTGACTTGACACTAAGAAATCAGTGAATTGGTACACCACTTGCAGATGCTGAATTGAATTGCGTGTGCCGGTGCTCGTGTGTGTTGTGTATCTCTCGGTTAAACTAATATGATACATTATGAATAAACGGGTAGAATAGTTGATTAAGCTTGTATTCTTTCGTATATCAATACTTTATGAAACATACAATAAATTAAAGTTAACTTAAAGAGATTTCGTACGCCAATCTCCTTGGTAATCGTTTGATGTACAAATGATGGTAATTTACCCTCAATTTTTCGATCGTGCTGTGAACATATATAATTATCTCTATGAATTGAATAACAGAAGTATTAACCAGTACTCCATTTTACTTTCATTGCCGATGGACTACAGATCATCGAATCTGTTATCGAAACGACAAGTAGATACGCTATACAATTGAACTATGTGATTGCACGCACCTCTTTCAATGTGTTACTCGCAATCGCATCGCTGCCAGGTTAACGCAATTAATTAAATCGTTAAAGTAATACCCGATCAGACCAGCTGGATACGAGTCTTAACATATATGTATATTGATATATCTAATATATAATTCTGTGTATATAATATATCTATATGTATATTAATACGTATGTGCACGTTTGTATTACGCTACAACACATCGTGAAACAAAAACCGTTAAGTACGTTATAATAATTACTATTTCCTTTTTTTCTCCTCCCCGCCTCTTTATGTAGTTTACAACGCACTTTTCTGCCTTTTCCCTTTTTTTTTTTCTTTGTTTTCGTTTTTTTCCCCTATAACCCGGGACCTTCTTACGCAAGCGTATACGTGTATAAAATCTAGATCCAGCTTAAAACGTACACATCATCTCGTGGACCGTGCACCGTGAAGCGATATTACCAGCTCGCTTCGAAATCGTGCGAAAACGATGCGGCTTGAGCATCATGAAATATAACTGAGGACTGAGGACAGAAGAGTGTGTCTCGCGATCACGAAACTACGGCTCTATACTTGGATGGACACGCAATCAATACACAATTACAACATTACAAACAATACTCGATATTTTTTAAATATATATAATAACATTACTAAAATTATGCAGTGTCCCGGATTTTTCTCCGCCGAATGGTTCAAGCATATGAGTAAAAATAACAATAATTTGATTAAAAAGTTATAACAAAAATACGATATAACAATGAGTCTATTTTTCGTTTAATTTCATTTCAAAATTGTACCTGTTTTTATAAAAATACACGAGAACTTAAATTTATTATATTACGGATACATTACGAATGCAATCTTCACAAGAAAAAACTAGTGACGTGATATTTGTTGATCTTGGGCTAAAGAATTAGTTTTCCTCGATTTCATTCATCATGCTCATTTAATCATTGTATCTAACATTAAACCAGTTAATGAACTATTATTTTTACTCATAAAATTGACAATAAAATTCATAAAGCTGAAAAAACCTGGGACATCCTATATAGCATCTGTGTCTTTAGATTATTACAGAATTTTTCTTTGCTTGAAACTGCAAGTCCTTTCGCGAACGAAACGCATAGCAAATGTTTGATAAATCTTTTTTAAACGCATAAAATGAGGAAAACGAATTACGATCCTAGACAGAAGAAGCTCGATTAACTATTGTTAAGTATACTCGAAACCGCACGGAATGATGTAATTCAAACTAGCAGCATCTTCGTGTATTTTCAAATCGTTCAGTGTTATTGAGCCATCCGTTGATGAACCTGACGGTTCCTCGAGGATTTCCGCAATTCATAGTGTCTCTCTTGTTCTAATGCGTCCACGTCTTTGACATATAATACCCTGATAGGATTACAATAATTCAGCTTAATGTTTAGCATGTCATCGAGGATCATAATATCGCGTTTCTTGATTCGTCTTAAGATGCTCTCTTTTCTCTGTAGATGCGTAGCGTAATTTCAATAACAGGGCGATCAACGAACTGTTACGTTTCAGACACACACTCGCTTCACAAGTTAATAGATGTCGCGAAATCGGAACAATCGCTTTACACGTTAAATAAAAACTACGTATCTAAGCCAGTCTTCCTCTTATTCTGCCAATTTCACATTGATCATTGCGCGTTTCTTTTGTTCCAACGTCCTTTCCATGTTTACTAGTATAGTAATTGTTCAGACGAATGAAATTAGAAGGGCAACGCTGATCAATTTTATCCGCTCCGTATTTTTCTTCACAGAACGCCGAATATCGTTCAACATTCGGAAAATTACATACATATATATAAATGTATATGTATATCCATTAAACATTCATTAGACGAGTAGAACATTTTTCGCGTGGCGTATGCTTGTACAATCGAAAGATCTAACAAGACAGGATATTAACATACGAAAAAATCAGGGATATCTCTTCCGCAACGTTCTAGTTTCAATATGAAATATATCACGATTAAATTTCGCTGGCCTGCATGCGATTTATACAATTGGTTTACAACATCAATCCCATAATACGTCACGTCACATCATCGCTGTCAGATTAAGCAAAGAATGTGATATTTGAATGATGCGATCGCATCATGATAATATTACGACACGCCCGTTTAACAAGGAAACGATTGTGTCACAGGAAATACATGTTCAGTGATAACAATAATAATAATAATAATAATAATAATAATAATAATAATAATAATAATAATAATAATAATAATAATAGTAATAATAGTAATAAAATAATAATAATAATGATGATAATTAAGAGGCGACCGATAAATGACGGAGAGATGTATGGACAGTTTATATATTGTGAGACTTTCATGCGATGATATCGGACGATTGTCGATAGGCAATCGAGCTGCATTACTCGTATTGCTTTGATTGAACTCGTCAAAAGTACGAAGAGGATGATTTCATTAACTCTCGGCACTTTTGCCCCTTCCGGTGCTTTCTCTAACATAACGTTAAGCTACATATACACATCTTCATACAAAGTTGCTGCAAGTTGTTAGAACAAGTATCGCTTAGTAATGGGAGTAGCATCGAGGGCAAGATTTTTTTATCGATGGCTACTTTTACACATGGGGACAGTGAGACGACGAATATCTTTACGATTTTTTTAGTTATTACTTTAGACACACGGTCGTGTACTTTAAATACATTTACAATAGCCTATTTATAGCTCAGCGCACTATCTTTTCCCTTAGATACCACACAATTAGAAATAACGAGAGACAGAAATAGAGAGGAAAGCGCGAAGAAAATAGTCGCACAAGCTCCATTGCTCCGGTTTCTTTTCCTCTTGTTTAAAGATATTTGGTCCGATGCTAAGAGACTGTTAAGCTTAGGCAAGCGTCAAGATGCCAACGCGTAACAGTATGAGCTTTTCTAGAACGGCCGTCGATAGTAGTATGCATGAAAAACGGAAATCGTACACGGGGAACAGGATTATGCTGATACATACGCATAACGCGTTGACATTTCATCATGATTAAATAACTAATTGCGACAAAGACCAAGCGATTCTCTTTTTTATAAACTAGATAGATTATACTATTGCCAAACCGTTGTAATATCATTGATGGTGCACTTTGTATTTTTATGAGAACAGTATTGTCAACGCTTCGAAGGTATGCGATCAGTAGAATAACCCACTACCTAGCTTGGTACGCTCAATTAGTCAAGGAATATTCTCTTTTAAACGCTTTGGACTAGACTGGCGATGAACGAACGAAATCGTGCCGATTTGAAGCAACCTGGCACGCTTCAAATTCACGCACGATCGAATGTTTCTCTGTTCCGGAAGCAACCGAGGAAAGGAACCCTGTGTGGCACAGTGAAGTAACGTGTATTAGAATTACAAGTGAGATTCATTCGCAGCGCACTTAATTACGGGTTGTTAGTTATGTTTTTTTTTTTCTCTTTTTATACGACGCAATTACTTCCAGTAACGATGACACGAAACATACAACCGCACAGACGAAAGAAACCGACGATAACAGTTCATGCTAATCAAGGAATAAAAATTGACTGGATCGGTCGTCACACACACGAAAGGGCAACACGCAACACGTAGGAGAGAGAGAGAGACCACACTTGTTAGATACATACAGTAAATTTAAATTGGGTCGACTCTACTTAAGCGTTTACATTTAATTTATCCGAATGTTGGCTCCGCACAGATAAGTACTCCGTCTAAATATACTTTTCAATTCGGTGTGCGAGAATAGTCTTCCACTATATTAAATATATATATATAAATATAAATATATATAAATATACATACACCTATTTATCTATTTATATTTATATTTATATACCTATGTGTCGTGTATGTATGTATATATCTCTTCTTTTCTCGTTTTTAATTGCCCGATTTTCCTTTGTTTCGACGTAAACGATCGAGTCATGACTCGCATCGATTGGAACTTTTGATTCACTCATTTTAACGATGCAACCAACAGTCAATAAAGTTCGATTCGATATAGTTCGGAAATTCCTTGATTCTGATAGATTCTAGATTCCTATTCTTTCTTTACTTCTTTTAATTTTTTTTGTAATTTTTTTTCCTTTTTCTTTTCATGTTGGAAGCAGTAGTAATAAGAGGCATCTGTCTGAAATACTCCGTCGAAAATAATATCACAGCCTGGAGACACGGTGGAAGACTAAGAACCACGACTAAAGCTTCGCTGCTGAATTCTCGAAAGCAACTGAATACAATGGCACGGATAACGGGAATTCAGACCAGAACAGTGCTTCTTCTTCTTCTTCTATTTCGTCGTTCATTTTGTAAAAACTTAGAGATTCGATAAAAAAAGAGCAAATTTGAAGTGAATAGAAAAATTCAAAAATAAAAATTAATAACACAACATTTCGCTAGCAATTTCTATTGCTACATTATTTTTCTTTCGTTCTCACATTACTAGTCTCCTCCTCCTTTCTCCTCCGTGATTGTGATATTATTTAAAAAGCTTGTCGCTTCTGAGTTTCAGTCGTACAGTGAATATATAGTTGTTCTTGTTTCGTAGTAATAAAACGTTTGACCGTTTTCTTTTCTCTCGATTCGCCGAGGAGAAAATACAACGAGTAGACGGCCGTTAAAAAGTGACTAGCATACGCACTTGTTCGCACAACTTCAAACTTGTTCAAATTAGTTCAAACTGTTCTTTTTTTTTCCTTTTTTTCTTTCTTTTATCACGATGCTAGACGTATATCATACATGTATAACGTGTATCATACACGTGTAACAAAAATAGGTTTATAGGTTTCTTTTGGTCGATTTTTGTTACCAGGATTCACCGATAAGACACACATGAACATGATTTGAGACCACACTGTTCAGCCATCTTTTTCACAGTAACACTGTAAAATATTTAAAACTGAAGAATAATTGAACGTTGATTTTTGCAAATCTAAACACTTAATAATGTAATTAAATAATCTCCTAAAAAATAATGGCTGTGCATTCGAACCTGCAATAAGAAATAGCTATTCCTTTAATGTTCTCTCATGTCAAAATGCGACGTGAATTTTTTAAAATAACTAACTCGTGAAATGATGTAATCATGGATGTTGTATCAATGCAATTGACTATATTATTGATCGAAAAATGTATCGTTTCTCGTACAATATACTGATTATGTGCGCTACAGCAAGTGTTCTATTTCAATTTGTAACAAACGATCGTAAGCAATAACAAGTATAAATATATGCAGATAGAACAACAAAGATTAAACGCTATCTGCTGTGCGCGTATATGTATGTAAACAATTAAATAAACGATGCTTTATTGTGCGCTATGCGAATATATGTTTATCTTGCAATACTTTTTTATTAATGCAAAGAGCAAACCATAAAATTAGGAACATGAGAATTAGGAAAATCGTTCTATTAAATATATAGGGAAGAAAGAGAGAAATAGTTTCTATTCAGGTATTGTTAGATGAAATGTCTAAATATTAAAATGATATTTCTCTTACATTCCCAGCCCTTCCCTTTCTAAAGATGAACATAAATGCCACGTGTTCTTATATCAGATAGTTGTTGGTTTGCATTTAAAAATCGTGTAGGTACTAGTAATTGTTCTAACTTGCCTGTTATGCTCTTTGCCTTCTTACATTTTTATTTCTTCTAACATAGCGTTTCAGCTATGATTTATCATCACCATCGTGTTAAAAACACACTGACGATTAGGATGTTTATCACGCATGTCTATATCATTGTCTATTAATTTGATAACTAAGCTAGTATTTCCACAATAAGCTGTATCAATAAGAATTCCTCTACGTTGCGAAGGTATAATGTATGATACCCTAAAAGTATCTCCATCTCCTTCGATGAATCATCGAAATATACGAAATAATTTAATTCATTGATTCTTGACATTTTCAATAAAATGAAATACAGCTCTTAAATTGTCAAGTACAAGAATAAAGAATGGCATAAAGGTACATCATTTAAGAACTCTGTGAGTCTGTCGATACGTTGCATCACTCCGAGTATTTCTTCGCTTCTCTTTCTTTCTTTTTGCAGACAATTCAATGAAAATCTTATTTAGTATCCAGACTTCTATCTTGTAAACGTTTCGAGCACATGACAAGATAGGCTAATACTTCTTGATCTGATGCAGTCTTAGAAAATTTACTTCGGTAGTATGATGCAGATACGAACCAGTCGAAATGCCTAGTTTCCTTTCCTTTTCTTTTGTTTTTCTTTGCATTTTTGTTATCTCTTCACTGTGTGTCATAGGTACAAACTTGGTAACTACTAACGACGTTTCTTACTGGTATACGTCTAAGTGAACAGTCATTACGAAAGTCGACTCGAGATGATACTTGAAAATACGCGGATGAGATTCATAAAGTGGGTGGTACAAGTTTGTGCTCATTTTACATTACTGTACGAAAGTGTCGGGTCTTTAGTACAGCAGTGCAACGTATCACTGCTCGTGAACAGTTCATCGGATATCGGAAATGTTAGCTTTGCTGCCAAAGATTTTGACTAGTTGATCTTCGTAATCGTCGATATTACGCTTCATAAGTTCCATGCAAGGCCCAAGTAAGCGTTCGAAAGCTTCAACGTCCAAAACTGAAAAAGTCGTATAAAAAAAAAAATACGCAATTTATGATTGTACTCTTCCTCGAACTGGATCGCATGTACATATATACAGCAATAGTCTAATGATCACTTATTCATGCCCATATGTATAATGGTAGATACATAAATAGATGCATTAGCGCATAGTAACCTAATGGACCGTATCAGAAGGATGTGAAAAGAGAACTTACAGGCCAGCTTTACGTCGCCCACAGCGTAGGCCGAAGCAGCGCGAGGTTTATGTGTTACCAGCGCCAACTCGCCTAAGTACCCACCAGCGGGAACTCTATTAATCTATAGTATCAAACAGAATACCAAATGACATCTATACAATTGACAACGTAATTAGTGCGCTAGTTTCCTAGGTAACTATGGTATCAACCTCATGCTGTACCGAGCTATGTATGTCAATGATTGTTGCAATTATGTGACACGTTGGAAAATGAAAATCAACAAGCTGTCGTACCTCGATTTCGCGGCCGTGATCTCCTATTATGGTGATCCTGACGACGCCGTCCTCGACAAAATACATTCCATCAGCTGTGTCGCCCTGTTTGATGATCTGTTCGCCATCTGAATACTGTTTTGGTACTAGAGCATCCGCCAGGTTCATACGCTCGTATGGCTGAAGAGAATGAAATTGGGACGCTAATATTACTCAGCTATTACCGTCCTTATTATTCTATAGGCGTAACTACGTGTGCAATTGCATTATACCAAAATTAATACTAAATTAGCTCGTTATGAAACAATGAAGTACAAAATAAATGTTAACAACTTTAATTCTAGCTGAACGTTTCTTGGCAATCGAAGTCCCTTGCGCTTCATCCAAAATTCAATAATATATTAGAGATGTAATTGCAAATAGTCAGCTGTTATCATCAATCAAATAGAACATCCTGAAATATCGTCTGACCGTTTCCTTAAACAAGCACCTAACTTGCATATAGTATGCTCAATCTGTTAAACTACAATAAGCGATGAAGCAATATCGCTTCCAAGTAATCCTCTATTTACGTTCAGCGCGATATCTTCCGGTACAAATTCCATAAAACTTGCCTCGAGATGTTTAAGCATCGGGACCTTGTTGATAAGGTCTTCGTACATCTTGCGCTTTTTGTAGGCGGATTTCAATAAAATACGCCGGAAAGTTTGTCTATCCATGGCCCATAGTGTACCAGGCGTGATGGCCTTGATACTGGCCGCCCTCGGCATATTGTAAAGGAGCGCGAGCTCACCAAAAGCACCACGATTGTCGTACGTATGTATCATGGATTCCACCCCAGACTGCTGATCTTTCACGTACACTTCGAACTTTCCTCTGAAAGAGGTACAACAATTGGATGGTCCATCTTCTACAACCGGTTCCATCCGGTTTCTTAGAGTTTGCAAATGAAGAATAGAAGAACATATTTTACCTCTCGATGACGTAGAAGTTGTCACCATCGTCACCCTGTCGGATAATAAATTCTCCAGGCTGTACGCTCTTCTCAAACATCGCGTCCAATACGTCAGCCATTTGTTCCTGCAAGAAATTCATGCAACGCATGTGCGTACACGCGTGTCGTAAATATTTCATGACTAGAAACGTTTGCTGTTTCCTAATATTCGAGAACAACAACCATAATTGTTACATTTCGAGTCAGATGGTGTACAGATATGGATATACGTAAGGTGACCACGTATCTTATGTAATTGGGAAAATGATCTTAAAGCGACAAACGAAAATTATATTATGTATAAAATAGGGTTTTTCTTTTTTACTTTTTCTGCAAAATTTCGCAAGCGCGATTGTTTAATGAAAATGAGAAAAAAGGTACAGAATGACAATGTAACAGTACGGTAACTACTACAGATGAATAATTAGTACAACGAATTAATAATTCAATTCTCAAGAAACTTCCTGCTGTATCTACCTAAAAGATCAACATTCTGAAATAGGAACTAAAGCATTTCAAGCGGTCAACAACGAATCCTCTCAAGACGTGGAACACATATATAAATACACGTGAAGTATACATAGTCGATTTGCCGTATTCTATAATCCAAAAATGGATGTTTATAGCTTTGTAATAAAGTAAAACGCCACATAACACATTTTTCTCTTATCCTCACTTTTTGGCTATACTACTGCAGTTTTTAGGATCGAATTAATAATAGTGAACACCTTGAATATACTAATACATTAATCATCTTAGACACCCTAAACTCCTAGCTGGCAGAAAGCTAGCTATACTTCATTATTCTTTCATAGTTTCCCAGATTCTACGCTTATTAATGAATTGAACGATCTCCAAGTAAAATTAAAACCAACGGAGCAAGAGCTGCGAGCATTCTCTTCATCGTTAGAAATTTATATTTGTACGCTAATCAAGTTATTCGGCTGTTTCTCTCTTTAAAGTAATACGTTGCCGAGAGTCTGCATCCCAGTTAAGCAGATTACACGTACTCATTGGCATTTCCACGAGTTGGCGCGAGCCCTCGCTGCTCCGTATCCCTGTTTCAATTACGCGCAAGCTAGAGAGTGTACGTGTACTATGTTTAACTTACCTCGTCTAGAGCCCGAAACAGGAGAATATGTTTCACGCTGTCACCGAGCCTCTGCCGCTGCTCGTCGCTCTTCGGATGCACCATCTGCAATCAATGAATCGCACGGATGATATCATGAATAGAAGCAATTCTGATCTAATAACGATTTTATTTTCCATTAGCATGTCGCAGATTTTGTGTAATCTTAATTACAGTTTGTTCGACAATTAACGGATTATGAGTTGTTCCGTCGCTGTTGTAAAATACATAACTTAATATTTAAATTTAATATTTAAATCTGTGAATTACGATCAGAAGGAATTACGATCATCCCGCGGCACGTATCAATATTATAAATTAATTGCAGCGTGATCGATCGATAACGCTAGGTCTGAATATACTGTGTCCGTTATAAAAAGAAAGGGTTTCCCATTAGATACGCGTGGGTAGATTGCACAGCACGGTAAGTTTAAAAAAAAAAAAAAAGAAGAAAAATCGAACTCTTTTATGATCTTACGTTTGGTTCAACAGCGGCCGATACCGGTAGCGTTGGAAAATAGTAAAAGCCCTAAGAACTCTAAATTGCATGGTGATAATCAATTGTGGCTTATCTTTTTTTTCAAATAATCGATTCTCATAGAGGGATTGATACATTGAGCTATACCATCCGTAGGACACTACCGTGCAGCTGTTTCAAATCCCGACCTGCTTTTTTTAGAAACCCAACACGAGGATAAACAGATCTAAGCCGTATTCCGTTTCATATTATCTGACCTTTGCATTCAACTGGTTAGTTTCACAAGAAATAGAGGATCTGACATTGTTCTTATCCACGGTTTTATGACTGAGTTAAAAAAAAACCATCTTCTTCAAATCGATATCGTAATTCGATTATATCAATCTGTCCCATACTTTGCATCTGCTCCCAACACAATGGTAAAGCTTTTTCACTGACCGAAGTTACAGTCCTTATTTTAGGAAAGAGCCTCTCTTTTTTTGCTTAATCGATTCATCTACATCTTAATCGCGCGTTGTTTAAATTTTGTCCGCGTGCGCGCAATAAACATCTTTCCCAGTAGAATAGTCTAGTTTTCAATGTCGCTGAACGTTGAGTTGAAACTTTTGCATAAAACGAAACTCGGTGGCGAGGACTCCATGCGTCAGAGATGACATTATCTAATTGCTCCGATTAAGACGAACGGAGGAGGAAATTGAAAATTTCGCTGAAAATCGTATTTTCAAGACAGACCGCCCTACCAGTTTGCCCATCGATTACTCGACTACCCGAGTTATATATTACATTCACCGTCATACGATGCTGTGAAGTGATTCATTAAAAACGAAACATCTAATTATCTCCTTTGATGTTAAAATTAGAAGATACTTGGAATCATTCTTTTTTAGAACAAGCAAGGCTATCGGTATTTGTCATATAGCTAACAAACCTATTTGTATAACATATACGTGCAATTGTTAAGGATCAAACAACGCTCCCATATCAAGTACAAGGCCGTAAAATATGGGATAACATACTTGGAGATCAAGTCATTTGAAAAGATGACCGTCCAATTATTTCGAGCATCGTATCAACGCTTCACACGAGAAGCGATCAAGCTCCGGCTACCTCCCCCAGATATCGATTTGCCTTGTTTTAATCAACTGGCTCAACAATAAAACATGTATGCATCTACGTCAAAAAGGGCATGTGGTTACGCTTGAAAAAATATCGATAGCCTTGATCGGTTTAATATAAACGATTCATGGAGAAATTGATCTCCACATCTTACTTATCGTGTGAAAGCTATACAACTTTGTATTCCTCCGTAATAAGACAATTAGATACTTCGACCAGTCCACCCAGTATATTCCCAAAGATTTTCCAATCTCGGTTTAAGTAGCTCAAGTTACCGATAATAATCGAGATCGGTGCAGCCTTTTGAAACGCTTTCGAGCAGTACGATCCCGATCTGACGAACCTTCCCCATGTGTCCTCTTTCTTTCTCAGGCTCTCGCTCCTTCTCGCTCTTTCTCATTCACGAACACGCTCACGTGTACACGTATATATATCATACATATGTAAGTCACGTCGGTAGCAGGTTATCGAACACGCGCTCTGACGTCACAAAGGTACATCGTTCGCATCGTCGAGCAAAGTAAATCATCCCGTTTCGTCACCCGCACAGCTTGAATACGCTCGTGTTTCGATAAAAAGAAAAAGAAGACATTTTCTGCTCTCAATGTTTCGCGTGATTCGCGTCGAGCAACGTGTCAGATCGTCGAAACTCAGGCTCCATAGCGGTAGCGAGTCTTCTGCGAACCGCGTGCAGTTTCTTTCGAAGCGATCGACTATGTGTTATTATCCGAACGAGTCATAAAGCATCCATATTTAGCTTTTATACACTCGGTACACGTGTACATGTAGATGTATGTATTCTTTGTATGCATGTATATTGTATATGTGAAACACGTTAACCCTATCCTTGTCGCGTTCCAATGTACCGTAATAAAGGGTTTATTTTTTAGTCCCTTCAACTCAACTCGATACATTTAACTGAAAGATAGTTAAAATTCTCCTAAAGAATAGTTCTCCTTATCGTGGTTGATTTTCCAGTCGTATAGTTCGATTAATATCAATCGATCATCGATTGAACATGTAGCTTTCGTTCGGGACTAATATATCGACAATATGGTTCCTTGCGTAACGTGACCAAAAGTACAGAAAGATGTATAGAGAGAATGAGAATGAAATGTCACTGAAATCAATCAAGATTTGTTGAATGGGACGAGTGACATTGGAAAGGAGAAAACGCACCTTAATTCCATCGTCTTCCTCGTCATCTTCAGGGTTGTAGGCTTCCGCGAAGACACTCTTCCTCCTATTCTGGAACCTTCCGATTGGTGGTTCTATAAAGAATGAGAAGGATTTAAATATAGAATTTTTTAACTATACTTTAGTTATACTTTTTAATATATCTATCTTCTGTCACAAGTATTCTTCTTTCGTTTCGTTTACGATTTGTATTAGTTTACAAATAAAAACGAATTAAACGTATGAAAATTATTGAAATTAATTAACAAATTGAAATTAACTTGAATTTCGAAATTGAATAAACGCATCGAGAAAAAGGGATGCATTAAGCGGGAAAAGTCGTACCGGTCTCCATCGATGTGCACATATTTATGTAAATTTTTCGCACAAAGTCTGTAAGAATCACTAACACACTGTTCGAATTTCGAAGACAAATGTAGAGATTAAGTTTCGAAATCGAAACAATATCGCGCACTGAAAGTTTTTCTGTGAACAAGTGTATCGGACGGGTTCGGAAGGAATACTCGACGCGATGGGAAGTCGCATCCCGAATGAAAATTCGCTGGCTTACCTTCCTCGACAGACTCGTCCGGCGTAGAAGAGGCGGTCTGCGCAGGGGCTTCAATCAACTGAGTTTGACGACTTTCCCGAAGTTGCGTGAAAAAACCTACGGCATAGTCGATAATATCCACTGGTTGCTCCAAGAGATAGCTGATCGTAAACTCTAATAGGACGTCCCGCAACTCGTCCGGCACTGTAATCTTGCCAGCGTTACGTTGACAACTCATTTTTTTCTTACACCAAACTATGTTCGAACAAACACACACTAGAATGGCATATGCCGGTAAACGCTCAACCAACGAATTATACGAATTAATATTATTATTACTGCGTGGAACAGTCAACACAGATTCGATGTGTGTCACTTATTAAATGCCGAAATTTTCCTTATCATGAACTGTAGCGAGGCCAAAAGGACGTAAGACCCATGCGTTCCGCCCACTTTCGCGCCGGGTTAACACTTCTCGGCACAGCTCGAACTATATCCGGTCTCGCTGAAACCGCTTTGCCCTTTTGACACCAACTTTCAATGATCTTTTTTCTCTAACGCTACATAAAGCTGCGCGGAACATGCAACGGGCCAAATTCAGAGATGCGACTCAGTCGCAAAGATGGCGACTATTTCACGGCGCGGATCTTGACATTAGCAGAAGGATCGCACTGAACATTTAACTGGCAAATAGTAGGCAGATTGAGCATTATTGGACGGGAGCAAAACTATAGATCGTAGACCAACGATGAATTCCCACATAGTACACCACGTATTCGATTTCCACTACTTTTAGATATAGCCCCGTACAGTACGTATGGAATTCTTCGAACCAATGAAACTCTTGATGTTTGATATACCGTTGCAGGCGACCTACTCCTTATTGGTTAGCGAACATTCCAAATGTAACAGGGTTAACGCGTGTTGCGTACACGCTTTGATAAATAATTATTTCGACTTCGTTTTCCTTAAGTCCAATTCCTATTGACCTCGAAGAATGCCCCCTATAGGCACAGGATTAAAATACTTTCGGCTAATTCAAGCTCCGTCGGCGTTTCTGTGTTCAAGTTGAAGTATTTTTAACTATGCTTTAAATGGATACTACACGTGTATCTGAATATTAAAGTGGTGTCAAGCAATGTACAATAAATCACAATTCGTATACTTCAAAACTATTTTTGTCTGATGACTACATGTGCTTGTCACTAGGATATTTATAGTACTATAACCTATAATATTCTTCTACTGTTCTACTGTTCTACTGTTCATAAATTTAAGTATAGTAGGTTACTTTGGGGTAAACAAAACTTCAAACACTCGTATATAAGAGATGGCTGGAATAGAACAATTCGATGAATTCTTAGGTGGATCGCAACGATTGCCACATGAAGTTCACATTATGAAACTTGTTTCTGCGAGAGCTAGCGAAATTGCTGCAATGACATATTCCATAGGTATGTTAAACGATACACGAACCTACTCTAATAAATTTAAATTTCCTTACCAACATATAAATATATATTAAATACACTGGGAAAAATGATATCTAAATCATTATTTATTATTGCATTTACAGAAAATCCTCAACAAACGAAACTTGTATTTCAAAAACTGCCGGTATATATGCGCAGGCGTGTCATGTCCCATAATGCTAAGCGTTTACCCCGCCGATTACAGGAGGCACATTTAAATCAAATGACTAAATCCGGATTGCCACCAAAAATTAAAAGACAGTCGCGTAGATATCGCAGACGATCTCGTAATTTACTCGCTGAATATAAACGAAGACAACGAAATAAAATTTGGTTGGAAACTCATATTTGGCATGCGAAACGTTTTCATATGATAGAGAAATGGGGCTACAGAATCGCAAGTTACGCGAATGATAAATGTTTCAAGGCTAATTATCGTGCGATGACAAAACACTGCTTGATGCAAGATATTTCATATTATACATGTATCGAAATTAGTGGCCTTGAGAAAATTTTAAAAGAAACTTTAAAGAGCCATTGTAATCCACTCGAATTAACATTTGCTGCACAAATTTTTATAACAGGCACACGAGAAGGAACTGTAATGTTTTTTAAAAAGAATGGCTATCCTCAATTTCCAATCGGTCATGTAAATTTTTTATGGAGACCAAGTCGATCTGATCTAAGAACCATATGGATTTGGGTACATCCATCTTTCCTCGATGATTTCCTCACGGAAATTATATCTAGTTTTGAATTTCGCTTGAGCGACGAACATTCTACTTCTACGAGTGATCAAAATATGGAATCTTGTTTATACATTAATGAAAAGAATTGTAAAATGAGTATTCATAAAAATACTTTTAATCGATTTCGTTTTTACGGACCATTGACAACTTGTGTTTTAACAAATGCCCTACAGTTGCCAAAATTCGATAAAATGCTTAATTTGAAATTGGATGCCGTGCAAGTAGATCATAATCAAATGGATTACGAGGAAGATGAAAATTCTGATAAATTGTGGCATAATAAGTATTATGATAATCAGGAAAATATTGAGTCTTTGAAAACACAAGAAGAATTATGGCAAATGTTAAAAACGTTACAATCACCTAGTCAGTTGCCACCAAATATTGTTTTTGGCTTTACTGTCTTGGATCCAAGATTCCATTTACCAGATAAAAGAACTAGACCTCAAAGAGAAACACAGACAATTGAAATGGTGTCAGTACCTCCTACAAATGCAAACTCTAGTCCACTTTGGGAACAGAAAATAAGAGAGAAAGTCAGTAAGACATGTGCAACAACAAGTGCAATTAATAAACTAAGAAGTCAATGCTTAGTACCTGGTCTAGATAATGACAAATATTTTAATGAAAATATCATGGCAAAGATACCAGTATTGTTGATTCAAAAACCTAGTATCGGTAAAACAGGTAATTTTTATTAATAACAATTACATTGGAAAACTTTCTTATCAATAAAGATAATCAAGATTGATAAATATGTTTTTTTAGGGTTAGGTTCTGGAGTAGATGTTATTCTTCCATCTAATTGGGGAATGCCATTCTGGCTTGCTTGTATATTTCGTTGCGTAAGAGTTGGTGCACTCAGAGAATCAAAATCTATACCATTTGAATGTGAGAATATGCAATCCCCAGATATTAATGATCCAGATACACCTGCATATACAAGAGAAGCATTAAGTACCAAATTGGAGCTAAAAGAAAAGTATTTTCGTTATCCACCAAATAGGCGCGTGAACTTTGTTAAACTCGGAATTTCTAGTCCTTTTTTCTGTGAATGGAAGATCTTAATGAGAGAATGGACAAATACAGACGATTTTTTTATATTAAGAAATCGTAAATTATTAAATTTCTTGCAAAACAGCTTAGTTCAAGAAGATAATACAAGAAGATATAATACACCAAATAATCATGTATCAAGTCTTACTCTGCAAAGTGCATTTGAAGACAGAAATTGTTTAATTCGCGTTAAAGTAGATATTATGAAAAAAGGATGTCCTAAAAGATTTGCAATAATATGTATGCCAACTAATGAAGACATAGAAAAGTTTAAGAACAATAGAAGTTGGTCAGGTCCTGTGGAAAAATTAAATGTTGATCCAAATGAAAGTATTCGTAAAATATCGCGAAAGAATCATTTAGCTCTTTTAAAACGGCTAAAGAAACAAAGAATACATCATAAAAAGACATTAACTAATAAATTAAGTAAAATGTTAAATAAAGATTTTCAAAGTTTTAGTTATGAAAATAAATTAAAGAATTTGTTAGAAATAAGTCGTGAAGCCATATGCAAGCAAACTCAAAAAATGTCGCAGTTGTATCTTCCAGATTGTGTTAAAGTACGAAATTCTTGTGATAGAGAGATTATGGGTTATATTACAATGGGTGATTTCTGTTTTACAAAAGCAAAAGGTGTAGGTTTAGGATATGCAACATTAAATTCATTAATTGAGCTGATCAATAAAAAACATCCTTTTGTTCTTGTTAGAAATATTCAGACAAGACAATATAGAATTGCTAGATTACACGTAGTAATTTAACAGTAGTTATCCTGTAGTATTATTTGTAATAAATTGTTATTTAATATTTTAATTTATAAGTGAACTCTGTTAAATACCGTATCTTTTAAAATACCGTTTTGTAACATATATGATATCTGGTAGTTGAATTGTTTACAATGGAAAAGAAAGAAAAAATTTGATAAATAAATCTAATCATTATATCGCATTCGTCATTGTTTGTCAAGGCTGTTGTTCGCAACTATATAATGTTTGATAATTTGCTATAGTACATTCAATCTAGTGTAACGTAATATTATCAGAGTATTACGTTTAACCTCCTCGAAGTACTATTTTGCGCATATAGGAAAATTGGTTTAAAATACCCAATATGACACGTGTAGCTGTCGTAAGTATAAATTATATATTATAAAAACTTTGTATAGTTTTATTGCTTAAACTGCGGTTGATATTGTAACGGTCACATCATACATATTTTGATAAATCGAATGTTTAGGTAACCGGTGGGAATAAAGGCATTGGATTTGCTATTGTAAAACATCTTTGCAAACAATTTGATGGAGTTGTTTATTTAACAGCTCGTGATGTTACTCGAGGACAGAATGCTATTAAAGAACTTGAAAAACAAGGTTTAAACCCAAAATTTCATCAACTTGATGTTACTGATGAAAGTAGTATTTCTACTTTTCATGATTATTTAAAAAAAACATATCAAGGATTGGATATATTAGTTAACAATGCTGCTATTGCATTTAAGGTAATTAAAACTTTATTTATTTATTTCTTTTTTTTCCGAAAGATATTCTCTACAAATTTTATTAAATATACAGACAACTGCTACAGAACCTTTTTCTCTGCAAGCTGAAGAGACATTAAGAGTAAACTATTTTAGCTTAAGAAAAGTATGTAGCAAACTTTATCCGTTATTGAAAACACATGCACGTGTAGTACATGTGTCAAGTTCTTCTGGTCATTTATCAAAGATTCCTGGTGAATCATTGAAGAAAAGATTTTCAGATCCAAATCTTACAGAGGAAGAATTAGACAATATTATGCACGAATTTATTGAGTATGTTGAATTTCAAAAATATACTAATTTACAATCTACTTTGTTCCATGGGATGTATTCTAAATTTTAATTATATTTTCAGTGCTGCAAAGACGAACACTCACTTAGAGAAAGGATGGGCAAATTCTGCCTATGTTGCAAGCAAAGTCGGAGTATCTGCTTTAGCTAGAATTCATCAAAGAATGTTTAATTCAGATACTAGAGAAGATCTCGTAGTGAATGCTGTGCATCCTGGCTATGTAGACACAGATATGACTAGTCATAAAGGTACTTTGAAGCCTGATGAAGGTGCTCAGGCTCCTGTATATGCTGCATTATTACCAGAAAATACAGACATAAAGGGTAAATATATCTGGTATGACAAATCATTAATGGAATGGACAAAGGATGAATAAATATATAACAATATGAGTTATTTTGGATGAATGCTGCAAAAAGATATACTACATATACATATACTTACTATATTATCTTTAAATTTATTAATCTGATGTATGATTAACAGTTCTTCTTCTTTTTATATGAAATACACATGATAACAAATAATTTGAAAGAATTGTTACAAACAGAAACTATCTTTTTTTAATGTTACATATAAACTCAATTTATGCACTTGTAGATTCAAAGATTGTATGTTCATTGTACACAATTCTTGGCTTTAATAGTAAAAAATAAATCAGTGGTATTTTTAAATCTAATAATAGCACAAATTATCTTGCTTGAACTGCTGCTTCTTTGCGTGCAGCATCCTGTAATAGCTGAGTATCCACTTCATCTCCTGGTAGTTGTACATAACGTACTACTGATCCTCGAATAAAACAGTTTTTTACAGACAACTGAAAGATATTGTATTCTTACTTTCTGTTACAATTTCCTTTATTATTAAACATATAAAATCATAAATATATGCACTACAAACCATATGAGGATATTTATCTGGATCGGTCACACTTATATCAGTTAACTTTATATTCAGGTATTGATCTACTGAGTGCAAAGTACCACAAATGCTACATACAAAAGTTTTATTAAGTGATCTTATAAACATTATAAAATAGAGTTTTTCTTCTGATGAACTTACCTCAAATCATTTTTTAATTCTACAACTACGTCCTTCCCGATCAAGGATTTGAAAAACGAATAAAACAACTGCAAAAAGCATCAAAAAGAAGTTATTTTATTATGAAAAGAAACAGAGGTTAACCCGCCAAATGAAAAACGTTCGACTTACCATCTTTAATAAACTAAAAATATCCAATTTTTAAATTCGTTTATCGTATTATCTAATGAACATAATGAAAATACAATTATTGAAACTAATAATTATACTAATTTCTCGATTGCCGGCACGAAATTGCTGTTATGACAATTTGTTTGAAAGTGTCACTATACACGTTGCGAGTTTAGGGTTTGTACCATTAAACATTGACTTCAACATTTATCTCATCAATATTTTTTCTTATTTACAAAATTTTGATCTATGTTTACAAGCATACTTTCTGTATTTATCGATAATTTTTAGAAATAAAAGATACGAATCAAGATAAAATTCGATAATTTCATACTGTATAAAATTATATAAAATATTTCAACTGTATCTTGCCTCTTATTTGCTCGTGTTACTTTTACTGATTGGAGGTCTCCGCCAGTAGGTACGCGTGATCAATCGTACTTTGTAGAACAGTCTTGAAGGATTTCATCAATAAAGTTTTGTTTAAATATGTTTTAGCATACGTCAAAACTTGTGTACTCATATTTGTGTGTTTAAATATAAGTTAATTTAGTTCTTTGTAATCGATTTAAGCACGCTGCCTATATAGATAAGATCCATCGTTTTGCGGTTGGTAACAGAAGGGCGTTGACATTTAATCAAAAAGGCAAAACGTGAAGATGCAACTGTGACATTAATTCGCCAGTAGCAACTTTTTCGCATTTGTTGTTACGGTTGATTTTTCTTATGAACTGAACAAAAAAGATGTCAATTAATTTAACAAAAAATAAAGACGCTTTGGTGGCTGCTTGGCACAGCGTAGTCGACGATAAATCGTCTACTAACTGGTAGGCTTGCATCTTTTTCTCTTATGTTGTATTTTATCATTCCGGCTAATGCGTCGATATGAATCCGGTATCTTAAAGATTCACAAATGTTCAATTGAATCCTCAAAAACTTGCAAAATAAATTGCTATAATATATTAAGTAACTCTTCCTTTTACATTTATCGATCGATATAAATAGTGCAAAATATATAATTAGCATTTACAACGGTAAAACAAATAGTCGGTAACATTACACATACGGAGAATGAGAAATATTTTATGCAAAATATAATAATTTTGGGCCTTTATTGAATTCCACTAATTATTAATATATCTTCTTACTTTCAATTAAAAATGAGAGATTGTAAATATATAATACATATTATTTAATTAAATTTATTTTACTAAGTTATTATTATTCATAGGGCCTTGTTTGGATACGAAGGACAAACTAACAACTTAAAAGTGGTTGGTACTGGAAATGGAGGTCTGGAAGAAATGATTGACCGTTTAAATAGTAGTCATATCATGTATGCCTTTTGTCGTGTAATAGATACTAAAACAAGTCTACCAAAATGTCTCTTAATAAATTGGGTAAGAATTCATATTTAAAACGTTAATGATTTTATTGCATATATACAATAAAATGAGTTGCATTTTAGCAAGGAGAAGGAGCACCAATTGTTAGAAAGGGTACTTGTGCAAATCATATTAGGGATGTAGAAAAATTATTAAAAGGTGCACATATAACAATTACTGCTCGCTCTGAAGACGATGTTGAAGTGGATTCTATTATGGAAAAACTTGCTAGAGCAACAGCTTCGGCATACAAATTTAATGAACCACGTGGGGAAAACGAAGGTAATACAGGTCCTGTGGGTACCACATATCGCAGGTATATATCTTTAATGTTTTAATTATAAGAATATCAGAATCTTCAACTTAAAGACGATACGTATTGCAGAGTAATTCCCGAACAAGAAATAAATGCAACAGAACGTGATCAATTTTGGCAAAGGGAAGAAATGGAAGAGAAGAAAAGACTGGAACAAGAACGTATAAAATGTGAAAAAGAACGGCAACGGCTTGAAGAAGAAATTAGAACTAGAGAAGAAAAAGAAGCAATGCTCAGAGAACAACAAGTAAACACATTTTATATTATTATATTTATTATTTAATAGTGAATATTTTGGTATTTAAATTTTGATATACTTGTAGGTCACTGCCAAAGAAAATTCAATAGCGCGACAAAAGTTGGCGGAGCAACGCGCTGAGGAGGCGAATAATAAATTTAATCAACTAGCCGCAAGTCAACACTATAGCAACGATGTTGAAGACGATCATAAATCGCGAAGCGAAGAATTGCGACGACAAAGAAGTAAAGAAACGCAACAGTTAATTGCTCAAAGAACGATAAATGCAAGAGCTGTTTTCGAACAGAATTCGGCAGCTGGTCAAATGAAGTCTTCTCCAGTGCAGCAACAATATATACCGAAGAATAGTCATGTAGAAGCAGCTAAAAAAGCATTCGAGGAGAGTCAGCAAAAAGAGATACTCCATACAAAAGTGGAAGAGGAAGTGAAAACAGAAGTGAATAAAACACATAACTTAGATTTAGTAACCACCACCGCTTCAAATGCATCTTTATCTCTGAATCAAGTTCAAGAGTCTAAATTGCCAGAGCCAGAAGAAGAACCTGAGCAACAATCGGCGACGAAAGAAGCAATTACTGAAAATGAGTTGTACAGTCAAATGGATGGTCAGTACTTATATTTTGACCCAAATAATGAAGGAATGAAAGCAAGAGCCTTATATGACTACCAGGCAGCTGATGATACAGAAATTACTTTTGATCCTGGAGATATTATTACACATATAGATGCTATTGACGAAGGATGGTGGCAAGGTCTTGGTCCCGACGGTACTTATGGACTTTTTCCTGCTAATTATGTCGAAGTTATTGATTATAATACGACATGATAAGAAATATTCTTATGCAAATAGAAGATCTCTTTTCCCAATTAAAAGGAAACCATACTTGCTTTTTCGCATATAAAAGTGACATTCAGTATTTTCATGGCTCTGATGACTTTGCACTTTTCTTTTAATAATAACAGTGTTTAGGTATGGCGTATTTCGAAGAATCAGAAAAACAATATATATTTAAACTAAAACAATAACTTATGTTTAGGTATTAAATGCACATCCAATAACGAAGGAATTTAATATCTCTGATAATAATCACGTGAAAGATAAATATTGTTAATATTTTAGCGAACAAGATTTTAAAAATTAATAGTCTTACAATGCCACTTCATATACAAATGGCGAAGTACGTCTTCCCATGTTCAACGTCACAAACTAAATAAATTAGCAGTAAACAAATATATCTTTTTATAACATTCTACGTCGAAAATCGATGCGCTCATAGATATAGCGTATTTAATAATTTAGCAAATACCCTTTAAATACATTTACAAAATGTAATAACGAGTATTTAGGAGTATGTTTAATTCTTTAAACAATAAATTAAATTTGTTATAGTATATACTTTATAGTATTTTAACCCAAAATATCCTTTAAACATTCTTTAATTTGACCACATTTTTTTTATAGAAAATACAAAATATTTATAATTACTTTATTTTATTTAATCTTTTATTACGAGTCAATATGAAATTAATTGTATTAAACCTATTTTACTATATGATATATAGAAATTTTTACAGACAAGTGATTTTACTAATAATGAAACATAATCATAATATTAATCTTACACAAATAAAATAGGTGAAATCATCTACGGTAATTTTGATTCTGAGTAGCACTTCCACTACCCCCAGCATGGCTTAAAAATGCTAAATGTCCTTTTGGACATTTATTGGCATAATGACCTTTAGTTCCACATTTGTAACAAGTGACTTCTTCTAGTGGCTTTTGAGGCCCTCTTGGTGGGGGCCCATTATGCATATTCATGTGATGCGTAGCATGAGAATTACCTTCTATTTCTTGTCTAACTTGAGCTTCACGTACATCAGGTGGCATTTTATTACAATAAATTGCTTTATGGCCACCTTCTCCACAAAAGTGACAGGTGATCATTACCTTTTTCCCTTCTTTAGGTTGCATATCTTGCACTGCTGGTAATTCAAATCTTGGACTGAAAACAGAAAAAAATTGTAATAATGTATCTAAATAAGAACAATTCGAAATATTAACTTGGTGATAAACTTACTGCATAAATTTACAGTTTGGGCCTTCAGGACAAAATCCAGCTAAATAAGCCATGCATAAAACACGACGAACATGTCGATGTCTGCATAAAGGTCCATGTCTGCAAAATCCACGATCATACCAAGGACAATCTCTGACTTTAGTTTCTGGGTCGATATGTAGGAATGGACATTCTTTATTGTGACAAGCATCTAATAATTCATAACTGATTTTAACATACCTATACTGAGAAATCTTAGTAACACCATAAAGAAAAAATGTTAGAAAAGCAATAAAAAGATATTTATAAGTTTATCATAAGTAGAACCTTAGAAGAAATAAGAATGAAATACCATTACATGCTATATATACTTACTAAATCTGGAATAGAAATAACATTCTGGCATTTTTGTCATATCATACTCATGTAAAAATTCACACTGATCACCCTTTTTACAAAGACCTCTTAACCAATGTTTACATACTATTGTACGATCTCCACGTACGTGCCTAAATGGACAAGAGGCTCCTTTAACACATGTACCTCTCGGATAAAATTGACATACTGCAGCAGTAGATTCTATAAGCAACGAGACAGTAAACAGATAAATTTAATCAACGATGAATAAACAGTATAAATTTAAATTAAAATATTAATATCTCAATGAAGATCGTCGATATAACAGAGTATATTTTATTCAAAAAATACAGAGTAGCAATGTGTGCAATTTGACAATTTCATTTTCCAATTACTTTTACATTTTTAGAAGATAACCTAAACATATACAGTATACGAAAACTATCACGTACTGTCCATTCCAGTAAAAGGTAAAGGAAGTGCTCCATACTGTTCGTCAAGAGCAATTTCAATATCAAATCGCATATTATCCACATTCGCCACTAGACACTCCATTATTGTTTAAAATCTATCAATAATCACAATCACAAATTTATTTACTACCGTATACACAATAAGCATTAACTTCATTCACAGCTAAACTAAAGTTTTTATCGCGGAACATTCATTTCTAACTACTGATGAGCATTGTTAGTAATATTTCCACATTTCATCATTGAACAATTTTAATAATTCGAACTATTTATTGATCAAAGAAAATTACAAGTCCAATTTCTCGCACACAACATTATTCTGCACGTGCGTTGATAAGATTGAAGGCGTCATTTTATTTCACTATTTCTCATTGGCGCTCTTGAATGATTCTTATCTACTATTATCCACAGAGCTTTTCTGGATTGGAAATTTAGTGCCATCTGTTTTGAGTAAGATTTGAAAAAAGTCGCGGTTACCTTTGATAGAAAACTCGTCAGCGAACAAATTACCGACCTTAAAAAAATTCAATGTTTTTACGTCTTCTGCGATTTGTTATTACGAATTTACCAATTACAATTTATTTATACATAGCAATTATATAGAAGTTAAAAATGTAGCAAATTTTTTCTGTAATGAAGCGACATATCCCTCAAACATCTGAAGTTCAATAAATACAAAATAAATGCAAATATGTAATAAACTCTTTCATATGAAAATTTAACAAAGAAATTTAATTTAGTTTAATAATTAAATTAAATTTAATAGAAATAAGTTTCTTTCTGTATAAAAAATCACTTCGGTGATTAGTATAAATATATACATTCGAACTTTTTCCAAGATGAGTACGTTAGTTGTCTAATAAAGAGTCTTTGCTAATACAATTCTCCTGGATGATAAATCAGGGCTGCGGATTCGGCAATTAAAATTTCCCATTCTGACGTCGGCTCCTCTCTTTTTTGCTTCGACTCCAACTCCGACCCCGACTTTATTTATGATAGATTGTTAACATACTAATTATATGTATGTATGTATATAGCAAAGTTACTAATATTCAATAGACAATACTTCTATCTTGATAAAGTATTTTTGCTCTTACAAAATAGTTCCTATAAAATAGTTTCCTCAATACGAGATTCCATGGGAACGTGACTGCCGTTTTGTACAAAGGTTACCTATATTTTGCATTTTTGTACTTTGATAGAAATTCAAATTTGATACAAATTTTGATACAAATTAGTAATATTTTTAACATATAAATAATTTTATTACAACTTTTAATTATTTTAAGTACATTTTTGATTTTTGTCAAATTTACTAGCGTGGAGTCGTAGTCAGCATATTTCTTTCCAATTCCGCTTCCGATTCTAGCCTCGAATTCTCTTAGTTTCCGAGATATTCGCGAAAAATTGTCACAGTATAACTACAATGAATTCCGCCTCTAACTCTGTATCCTCACAGCGCGACAGTCGGGTAAGATGACGCTTAACCCAAACTTAATTCTTATCTTTTGTTTATAGTTTATATAGGTTTGGGTTAGATGTCATCTTATCCGGACGCCTCGTGGACCAACGGTCGACAACTAATTCTGACGTATACGCTGTCGCGAACGCACAATTCTAGGCAGAACTTATGTACGGCGCCGACACTATCAATATTTTTTTGCCAATATCTCGGAAACTAAGAAAGTGCGACATTGTCGCGAGAGAAAAAAGTTGTTCCAAATGTTCAGTTTTACAACATATTCGAAAAATCATGGAAATCGGCGATCGAGGGTAAACTTCTAAATAATTACCGAAGTTCCTTCCGAAATCTGACTCCGATTCCATAACCCTGTGATAAATACCAATCACTTAACGTCTTCGGTACGAGCGTCCACTATAGCCAATAACCACCGAATGCATCTCCATGCTAGAGCGTCGACTAAAGTCAATAATAAATATATGCAATCGCTGTTGCTGGCGGTCGTTAAATGATAGTACACGGCAGACGAGCGCCGTACCAGAGAGGTTAAATACAATTCGCGTGATGTTGACAGTAGATAATATTTCTGAATTCTATGTATGCGGTGATAATTCATTGGAGGTCAGTGATAAATCAGAACCCCAGCGAATCCGTTCTGATTACTCCTGATCAGTCGAGAGGGTCGAAAGATTTCATAACGTCATGCATGTACTTACATATCTATGTCTCTACACGATTAAAGCAATAACACTAAAATATTGCATCGGATGTTAGTTTCATAGTCATTGATCAGTGAGGGAAAGGGAAACATTTTTCCTTCGTTAAAATTTTTCCTACACTTTTGCTCGACACTTTTTATGTATCGATAGAGTTTATTTTTAAGTAATATTTACTTATTTATAATACTTACTTATAAATTACACTTATCTATAATAGGTATTAACTTATTATAAATAATCAGCCATATCACTGCGCCACACCAGAAAAATTACTGAAAATTCTCAACGCGAGAATTGTTTGTAATTTTAATAAATAAATAAATAAAAAAAAAAAATTGAATTTATTCATTCGGCATATTTATAGACAAAAGTTCTCGATACCACTTGCTTCGGAAAGATATTCCTAATAGAAGAGAGAACTTACTTTTGCCATTTTATATTCGTTCTTTTATTGAATATCATATTTAAAGAATATGACCAATAGTAGCGACATCGAATAACTATGTAAATTAGATAGGATAAGTGAACGAATAAACGTTTCTATCGTGACGTATTGAGAAAATATTATGTTTACGACGCTGTAGTTGCGTGCGATTACGTAATAAGGCAATTTATGCAACAATTATTCGCTCCTACTTGTTTGTAACAATATTTCGTCAGTCATACGACGGTAGTGAGATTCGCATTTTGTTGCGATTCGAGTAACTTCATCAAATACTCGAACATAGTTATTTGATGTCTCTCAAACATTCTTCGATAAGCCATTGCTGTTCTTACATTCTTTCCACCCGCGTAACGAGGCAGATGTTAACTGTTCGATTCGCCGTCAAGTATCTTCATCGACTTTCTGTGTTTGCTTTTCATCTCGAGTCTTATGAAACACGAAACATCGACTTACTCAACGATACATATTGGCTAAGAAAAGAAAAGCGATTACTGTGATTCATTGTAACCCGGATTACAATACATCCGCTATCAGTTTTCGTCGATGTGCGATTTAAACTGATCCGAGATTAAAATTCGCCGGCAATAGTCGACGATGATAATTCGTTGAAAACGTAAAGATTCGCGAGACGTAGGTTCGTTATCTATTTCCGGTTAGTAAGCACCTGTGCTCAGGCTTGATTCATTAACTGTTGCGCTTCGAACGACGCTTAAAAGCAAACAGGATTCGTGTCCACGGTGAGCGCGTTAATTACGTGATTCTGTTTAGTTTATTTGATACGGATCCGATTCGATTATAATATCGCGTGCAAACAAATTAAAATTCGGCAAATTGTTCAGGCAGTTTGTATATGCGCGTCGCTCAATCGCAGCTTGAATGTCGGCGTATCGGCATTTTGAATTCTCGATCTTTTTATTCTTTCATCTTTTCCCTTTCCCCTTTCTCCTTTCTTTAGTTTCACCTCGACTACGATTAGAAAAGTTTTACGACACTGAAAATCTGCCCCTGGCGTGCCGAAAATTTGTTTGCGGCCAAAAGGCCGACGTTCTTTGTGGACGATCAGCGAAATTATGCATTACTCGTTGCATCGTAAAGTAGCTTCCGACTCACGGGGGAGAAAACCGGTGAAAACTGAATTTACAGTCTATTCGAGGCCACGTTGTCTGCGTCTATTTTGACCCCTGTTACACTCTCCATGTTGGAGCGATAATTTGCAAGTTGCGGCTCGATTTACCGTTTTCGATTCGCCGGCGCTGTCGCGTGTATTTTTCATTTTGTACGTTGCTCGATTTTTCGTTTTGATACGTCGCTGAATATACGACGTAAATAACACGACATAAATAAAAAAACGACGATCTTTATTGTTTAGTATTAACCAGTGAAGCTTGAACTTCCAAACTTACTGGATTTTAGCTTCATAGTTTTAAACCGAAGATCCGTGGCAGTATTAATTTTTATATCTTTAAATTCCAACACCCATTAACAACACAATAATTCCTAGCAAGGACTCAGTCAAATACCTGGGCATGAGCCTGGACAGGAGGCTAATTTGGAAAAATCATATCACAGACAAAACAAAGCAACTTAAGGACAAACTCAAGAAATTCTATTGGCCCACTGGCCGACGCTCCAACCTAAGCACACAGAACGAAATTAGACTCTACAAGACCGTAATAAAACCTGTCTGGACCTATGGAATCCAACTATGGGGAATAGCAAGTAACTCCCACATTGAAATACTTCAACGCTTCCAATCGAAAAGATCCCTAATTGATGCACCTTGGTATGTAACCAATGAAACAATACACCGCGACCTCAGGATACCCACAGTCAAAGAGGAAATAGCAAAATATAGCGACAGATATAGCAAAAGAGTCAACGAACACCGAAACCCCCTAATCACTGGACTACTTGATACGACGGACCAGATTCGCAGGCTGAAGAGGCACTACCCGCTAGACCTAAACGCCAGATTCAATTAGTTATTTAGTTAGTCATAATTAAATAATATTTACTTATTTATAATACTTACTTATAAATTATATTTAGCTATAATAAGTATTATAATAATAACTTATTATAAATAATCAGCCATGTCACTGTGCCACGCCAGAAAAATTACTGAAAATTCTCAACGCCAGAATTGATTGTAATTTTAATAAATAAATAAAAGAAAAAAAAAATTTCAACACAATTCTGATATCCGAACTTTCTCGTGTATATGTGTAATAGGAACATTTTTTGTTTCATCGACTATCTGTCGCGTATTATTGATGTATACAACAAGTCTAAATACGTAACATAATCATATTGTGTAAGAATAACTTTATCGCCGGCACAGAATTACAATTTTGAAATTAAATTGCTCAATGAATTAGAAGTAACTTGCATTGCGCAACTGTTAGAATGTACTTTCGTTTTTTTGTTCGTGATCGTCGAAGATCAATCACGATAAGATAGTTGCTTTGCAACGATTTGTCCTAGATGTTGTTGATCATCGGTATATACGAACAAGATATTTGAATACGTAAAAATGGCATTTATCGCTGCTGTAAATTACCGATCGTTTTTTAATTCGCTCGATTAAATTCTCTTTACTTCGATACTCACGTAATCCTAGCATAATCACATTATGCGCGGAAAGTTCCAAAGTAAATGACGCGACAGTGAGTTTTCGTTTTTTATTCGAACGATACGCTTAAGTCGCCAATTGGTACAAGAGCAACGACTAATATCGAACGCTAGAGAGTTTCTCAAAAAACGAGACCGCGTGTAACTCGAGGAGGATCGTTAATTTTTGGCCGGATCGTGTACGAGGCCCGAGTATCGGCCATAATTGGCTCATTATATGGGGCACTAGGAGCCAGCCAAAATTCGTGCCCTCGCAAATTGGAGCACGTGTCATCGTTGATGCGTAAATCTGCCACTAGATTCCTCGATACGACGCGGTCAAGTGGGAAACGCGACTGCATCGTAATTAATATTCGGATGAATTCGAGATGCACACGAGCAACAGTTTGGTCGTACGCTTGTATCGCGTTTCTCCTTCGAAAATGTTATTGCATCGTTGATTGTTGGTCGAATGTTTTCATTGAGATTTACCTTCGGCTTAAATTATCACGAGACTTGCCTTCACAAATCGAACTTATCCACCTGTTTCTGTCCACAACGCGGTGATTAAGCGCTTCGAAGAAAGTTATCGAATATCTGATTGAGAGATAGGAACGATACAAATCCGATGAGATTGTCGGAGATCATTTTGTAGAAAGATGGAAGAATGGTTCGAGTTGCATGGACAGAAGCAGAAAAAGAAATTACGGCATGGTTTGCGAACGAAAACCTGTAATACGTCTTCGCAGGGTATCATTTATCGAGAGAAAATCAACTGGTCGGTCATTACTCGAACAAGGTGTACGAGTTTCACGAGGACATTGGTGGATAGTGTTGCAATCGAAGAACGGTTCTTCAGCGACCTTAATCGATCATCGAGACGTGGAAAGATCGTATCGGTCATCGAAGTCACCGCGATATCGGAGAATCGGTGAAGTTTGTTTGCACTCGCTAAAGGACTTTATTGTTTTCTTCTGAAACGAGATAAATATTATTTGTTCGCACAGGAAAAATGCACTTGTTGCTCGTAGGACGAGAAGTGTCATTGTTCTCGCTATTATTCCTGGTATAAACCGTAACGTGGCGGAGCGGCATGGAGAAAATTAGATCACTTAATTCTTTATCGCTTAAAAAGTTATCGTCGCGTGCCCCTTCCTCCCAACGACTTTCCGACCAACTCGATCTTCGTGAGGAGTGGAGGAAGCGTGAGTAACCGTCCGAAACGATTGGCCAGTTCGGCGAAGCACGAGATTTTTCAACCATACTCCGGGTATCTGTATAAAACAGCAGCGACCAGAGACGCTATAGTCACTAGTCAGACTTTCGTCAAACAACGTATACGCGTTTTATCGTTTATTCATCGAATTTTCCTCTGACTGGTTCTGTTCTTGTTTCTCTTGCCTTTCTCGTCCGTGCTCTACCAAGGTGACGGCGGGTTTTTTATCAACTTGGATAGACTGGTAGATTCGATCGGGACATAAGGCACAATGCCTTTCGCGAATAACGACGCTGTCAATGGGCACAATCATTACTCGCAGGTGAAACGTCCCACGGACGATGAATTTTTATACACGGCGGTCAAGCATCATCGGCACAACACGTAAGTCGTTCGTTTCTTATTGGTGAGAACAAAGTGGAGTATGGCTGTCAATCTATTGAACCTATGCGTCTCATATTTCAAATAAAGCTATTGTTATCGATTACATTCGTCCAGTTCGAATCTCATCGACAGAGGCTAGTTACGGTGATTGCAAGAAATTCGCGAAAATATATTCGAATGGTCTATTTATGGTTAATCGCTTCTCACATCAAAAAATTTGTCAAAATTGCTGCGGATGGCTACCCGAAACGGTTGTTGCACAACTTTCGGTTAATCAACAATGCGAAATCGTTAGCTACATGTATATTACAATGAGAGTGCGTATGAAATTTCCAAGTGTAACTAATTTCCCAGGACTTGTTCTCATCCTTCTTCCCTCTTATTTACATGGGAGTTCACTTTCATACGATATTAGCATACCTTCGTATTGCAGTCGGCCATTTAATTCCCAAGATAGACGGCCTGGAATTATTTCGCACAGGACGATGTTTAACACGTGTCGTGATTTGTAAGTATATCAGGGACAGGGCGACAACGTGACCGTGAACTTTGCAGTCACGTGCACCACGACTTCTGCAACGAAGCGTATCTGAACCGGTGGAACGTCGTTCAAAACGTTGGAATTTTCTTCTTTTCGCTCCTTTCTCTGCGTTATATCCTAACGAAAGGGAAAAGGTGTTCTCTAGCGATATCCAGCTGCAGGAATTCAGGTGTCAGCGTTAGTTAGGGGAGAGAAACTTGTCAGCAGTCTATTCGTACACGTTCGAGATACGTCAGACGTAGACGACAGCTTCCTGCAAATTCGCGTATTCTGAAATGTCCAATTAGAAGTTTCGAGCGTTCATACTTTGATTTTGTTTATTTAATCGAGCAAACAGGAAGCTCGCGCGAAACTCACAAGCTGCGCTTGGGACGAACGCAAACAGGAATTAAACGTAATGGCGCGATGAGGTTGACATTTCGGTAAATAGCGTTGGGAAACCTAGAGAGGGAAAATGAGATGGCGAGGGAGGGGGTCGACTTGACCCTTTCACTCGTTGTCACTTTGTGTTTGTCAACATTCGTTCTGATCGTCGCGTTTATTAGAATTCATTACGATCGTTTGTATTATTGAGACCACTCGTGATGCTCCGCAATTGGTCGCGAGGTTATTTTAATTTGATCGAAGTCCGAAGATCGGTGGATCGACGAATTGTAGCCATTTCTCGTCGAATGACCAGTATCCGCGAAGTGGCGTAGAAACTACACGCCGAATCAAATATGCAGACAGATTTGTAATTTAGTTGCAGCTCCCCTTTTTCGTTCGGTGCTCGATTCTTTTTTCGCGTCGCGTCCTCTACTCGTTTCCATCAGATATGAATTTTTATCCGGTACATTTAATATTTATCAATGTATTTCGCCCCGTTTTTTATTTAGATTACTCCGTTCTTTATCCGTCTCCTCGTCAGTCGCTTCAATTTCGACCTATAGATTCGACTAGAGTCGAGCTACCTGAAAAATCAACGAACTTCCGTTTCACTTCGCACAAATTAACGAATTATAAGTAGAACTGTAGCGGCCCGTAGGAAAAGTTTCAGGTTGAAACGGAAAATTGAAAACCGGGAGATCTATGATATTGTGCCTTGGAACACTAACGGTGTTTTGAGTTACAAGGTCCAGAAGTGTTACGTCGCGTAACACTCTACCTAGACTAGGCCACACACCGCGGGCAAGATAGCAACCAGATGTCTTCGGATACTTACTGCGTACCCTCCATAAATCTCAGGAATCTCCTAGTCGAGGTCTTTCGAACCGAACAAACATCTATTTTCCGACTCATTTCGAAAGACCATTGTCTACTATGGCTTGACAAGTTAGTTTTTCTTACGTATGATGCAACTTTCCTCCCACTAACCACTTTCTCTCGAGGGCGGCTAAGACCCTTCCTAGTCCACCAACCTTCGTTTAACCAATTATCAACGAAGCCTATTTCCCTCACTCTCTTAGCCAAAATCATCACCAACAAATCCGACGGTCCCGTGCGCTAGACACACCCATCCTTAGCTTTCCTCCGCCACAGCATCGTCTCCGAACAGCACTGATTTTACATCCTTCGAACAGTCAACATCCTTTGACCGGGAATACACCCGTAGATCAGTCACTCACTCGTCTTATACATACGCACCAGCGTAACTGTCTTCTTTACAAGTTGTTAGAATAAACGGTGATACATAACTTACTATACAGTGTTACATTCATTGAACCACCTCTGTTATCTTAACCGAAGCAGGGGAACGACTATTTCGCGGCGTCGATTAACCGGATCGTAGCGAGAATTTACGCCTCTCGCTGACGCGTTTTCCTAGCGACCGCGTCTCTCCGCAAACGATCGTAACAAGAAGCAAAAGAACTGTCGTTCTTATGGTAACGTTCGTTGATATAAATGTAGGAATATTATTATCCTTTCTTCGATTAGTATAGCAGCAGTGACGATTAAAACCGGCATACACTATCTTTGTATTTGCATTTGTATTTATTTTAATACATCTGACTATTATTGTACAAAGTCCATTCGTTTCTTTGACAAACAAGCTTACACGTTATACACTTGAGAATTTATTTTTTCATATTTTTCTATCGAAAGTTCGTGATTTCATCGTGATGTGTGGCTTCGCTTACGATTGATCGACAAATCCGAGACTCAGCCATCTCTTACGAACGAAGCAGTCCGAACGATGGCACCGTGAGCCTCGATCGAATCCAAAGAAGTAACACACCCTAAGCCAAGTTCTGAGTACGGCGTGCATTCATAATCGAGATTAGAGCGACTGATATTGTATGCAAAATTGCGGTGGCGTCATTGAATCCTCGTCATGACCCGGGGCTATGTGCATTCACGTCGTTATAATAATCGTCCATCTCACATTTGCCATTCATAACGGACCACCGTACAATCTCGTTTTACGATGGAGCATCCACGAATGCGGTTAGTTTAATGACGTTTGGTGTACTCGCGGCTATATCGAAGCTTTTCCACGGGCACCCGGCGAAACTGCGAAGCAATTCTCAAATTCGCGGTTGAATACGATTGTATTGGGAACGGTGCGGGGAGGGAGGAGGGGCAGTATGCATATTCAAGGCGTATTCAACGCGTTATAATTCGATGTCCCCTTACGGCGATGCGTACACGTACACGACAACTCGATAGCGGCAGCTCTCGTCTTACGTCCGCGTCCTTCTTTCCAATTACCGAGTTTTCGGACGGCGAGGGGAACGAAATGAAAATCTCTGGAAGGTTCGCGATAATCCAAGGGACGAAAAATGGGTGGCGATTACAATCTTATCCTGGAGACTCGTTTCGCTTCGAAACGTTCCACTCGCGAGGTTGTCAGGAACAGGGTAGAATGAGAATCTTCGCTTTGAGCTTTCGCGGATATTGCGACGCGGAACGACGAAAAATAAAGGAAGGAAAAAAGAAACAAGGAGAAGATGCGAAAGAAATATGGGAAAAAGGAAGGAACAGGGGCCGCCGAGTGCGGAGACATTAAAATTCACAGTGGGATTGTAAGTAATTTTCGATCGTGTCACGTGTAGCATTATGCTGGAGGCGCATTTATTCGGTCGAATGCCATGGAAATTCTGCGTGTGCATCTGTGCGTAGAGGCTGTTCGCGAGCGCATTTTGCATTCGCGCACGCGTGAATGCATACACGGGCTAGATGAGTTGTGCACGGGACGCGCATACACACTCGTAAACATGTTACGCGGCCGCTCGCGTATTTCGATGCATGATTTGTAATACCCTGGAAGCCTACATTCAGCTTAAATCCGGCGCTATTTGAGCCTGTTAGCAGTTTAACAGGTAACTGCACCGTTTTGTGATAGTTTCCACGGTGAAATTATGTCGGCCGGCTGCGAACGACCCCAGTTCCTCTTGTACTCGCTCAACTCATCCCGATTATTTCTGGACGTTTCTATTATTTTCACGAGTTTATTCAACCTCGTGTGAAATATTCGAATCATGGCAAACCGTTTTTCTACTGTGAAAATATTAACTTACGAATCCAGCTAAAACGAACAGGATCCGATTAATTAATTCGCTTTCTATGTATGCAGATATACGTACGAAGCTTTGCAAGAATCAGCGCAGTATCTGTTAGACCGTGTCAAAATCAGGCCAAAGATCGGCATCATATGCGGTTCTGGAATAGGTTAGTATGACTTTTCAAACGCTTTAGTGTCTTCGGTTGTCGCAGCGTATTTTCCCAGTCAATGTTTTGTCTATTCCTAAACAGGATCAACTGAACAAAACGAGTTGTGTCCAGGTTCCCTGGCAGAATCCCTCGAGAACAAGCAGTGCTTTCCATACGAAGAAATCCCACATTTTCCTGTCTCCACGGTCAAGGGTCACCAAGGACAGATGGTGTTCGGTTATCTGAAGGGTGTGCCGATCATGTGCATGCAAGGGAGATTTCATTATTACGAGGGTTATCCACTCTGGAAGGTAACGTTTCTTTGGGTATTTCTTTCTTTTCCATACGAACTTAACATTGCTCGAAAACAAAACTTATTCGATACGATCGATGACATTTAGTATAGACATGTATATATATGTAATATATATGAGAAGAGTAATTTTCGTATCTCTGATTAAATTTGTAGACATCGCGATTCGACGATACGACGTGTTCCATTCGAGATTTACGTTTAATGACATCTTACGTTCTCTGATTATCTGGAACGCCTAATGCTTATTATTTTTCCTCTCCTTTTCACGTGCAGTGCGCTATGCCAGTAAGAGTTATGAAGCTCGTAGGCGTGACTCATCTGATCGCGACGAACGCCGCGGGAGGTCTAAATCCCACATACAAGGTTGGCGACATTATGATGGTGAAGGATCACGTGAACATGATGGGTTTTGCTGGGAATAATCCTCTTCAAGGGCCAAACGACGACAGGTACTTTCCCTCGTTCTTCTCCTCGTCAACGCGTCGCGCTATGAAACGCGTCACATTACTCCATTTGGTGTTACTACATGCTCCTACGCTTCCTTATCTGCCGTTGCTGCTGCTTATCTTTTTCCTTTACGTAAAATTCTCGCGTGACCGTAAAGTTCTCGATGCCCCAGAAATTAGCGACAGTAGGAATTTTTTTTGATTTTATCGACGGGAGGAAAAAATGAAAGAAAAAGGAGATAAAATGAGAGACAGAGAGGGATGATAGATGAAAATGGAGGAGCCAGGGGAAGAATAAGGAAAAAATACTGGTTGAAAAGCGGACTAGTGAGATTCACGGCGTGAACGGCAATGAATTCGAATCCGCTTGCAGGCGACAAAGGCTTTCGGGCTCGTTTCCGGAAGGAAAGTCGTCGACGGCGCTCGCAGATTGCGGACCGTTCGACGACTCGATTCTTCGAGTGCTTGCCCCGGGGGTAAAAGGGAGGGAAACGGGTGGCCGTGCGAGATCGTTGAGGTCGTCGAAGGAATAAAATTAATCTATTTCATCGGAACAACCCCTTGAATCGGATTGATGAACTATTTACCCGACGACACAAAGAATCTGATTGACGTATTTACCTAAGGATCTTTCTCGATTTTTCTGCCTAACCTTCCCATCTTCTTTTCTTTGCTTTTCACCCTATCCGCTTTCGCGTCTCGTTCAGGCTCAGCCAAGTTTTCGTTAACTTTCCATCCCGCGAAACTTGAGATTCTTTCATCGTAGATACTTTCCTTTCCCTTTTTTCCCTTGTTACAGCAACCTCTGGTATTAATGAAACTCATCGAACATGCTCGCCAGTTTTTCGCGCTTGCCCGCACTTCTCTAACGATTACCCTCTTCTCGACGATACAAAAACCCCTTCTGTCTTCTCATCCCGACGATGCATCTTCGTGTTTCAGATTTGGGCCGAGGTTCCCGCCGATGAACAAAGCTTACAACGCTTTTCTCTTAGAAATCGGCGAGCAGGTAGCGGATGAAATGGGTATAAAAGACATCGTGCACAGAGGCGTGTACACGTGTCTCGGAGGACCAAATTTCGAGACCGTGGCTGAATTGAGAATGTTAAGGATGATCGGTGTCGACGCAGTAGGTCAGTGGTCGAAAGTTTTTATACTCCAATTTTCCATAGACTCTCTGTCGGCAAATTATTCTGCCGCGCATAGTATATCGACGATTCTATTTTATTTCCAGGCATGTCTACGGTTCATGAAGTGATCACTGCCAGGCACTGCGACTTGATCGTCTTTGCTTTCAGTTTGATCACGAATCAATGCAGCACCGATTATGAGAATCACGAAGAAGCGAATCACGAAGAAGTGATGGACGTAGGGAAAGCGAGGCAATCATTGCTGCAGGACTACGTGTCGCGCATCGTGTTGCGTCTACGGGACATATTGGGCCTAGAAACGAAATGATTCGTGTAATTTATATTTCCACCGGCCGCCTTTTAGTTTATGCTAATCGTGTTCGTCAATTCGTGCTTCGACGAAAAACGACGGCGAAAAAGAACGTCTCGACGCGCACGATTTTTACGCGAAACGCTGTCAGAACGATTCTTTCTATCGACAATCCGACATTAGAGGAGTAAAAAAATTTGCGAGCGTAAAGAAACGTGTGTTAGGTACGTAGAAATTAGTAGGCATCGCCTTATGAGTGCCACGAGGAGAATATTGAAGCATTCTTTTTTTATACTGCTCGTTAAACTTCTACTTGCCTGAATATATTCCAGATGAAAAGAGAGTTCGGTTGTTTGTATCGAGCCGCGTGATGTCAACAGCTTGTGACGATTAGTTATGTGTATAGAAGCATTGGACAAAGGTTTTAGTCATAGAACGAACGATCGATTAGATTTTCCTTCCCGTTTTCTCAACGCAACATCGCGAATCGACGATAAACAGTGGGTAAACAAGATCGAATTAAATGAAATCAGTATTCAGCAGTATTTCACCGAGTGAACAAGCGCCCATTTATCTACGAAGAATCAACTTATCAGAGTACCGTTGAAAAGGATTTGCGTTTAACTGCGTTCTCTTTAATTATACTTTCGTCTCAGCAGTCAAAGGATAAGCATATCTATGTATACGCGCGTATTGAAAATCTGCTTGAATTAGAGAACCACGGGTCGCTTGGCAGTCGTGCGTCTCTGATCTCGATTGATTCGTTACACGTCTTGAGAGAGCTTCTTTTGCTTTAAAAAGAGGGAACGGTTTAAGGGTTGGGAAGGTCGGTAGATGCTACCTCCTCCCCGCCGCGACAGCCTCGTCGATTTTCCTCCCTCGCTTCGTTACCTTCATCTCGTTTCCGTGCTTTTCCATCGCTAATGCATCGGTGTTCGGCTTCGATAAATCTCGAGCGGCGAAGACCATACTGCCGCGGCCCTTTTCCTCTCTTCGTTTTCCGCCATAGTTGCTCCATTCGTATTACCTTCTACGATGAAATTATGACACGACGTCGCACGGTGGAAAAAGTCACGGGGTTCGAAGATTCAGTCTCTCTGATCGTCTCCAGAATTGGAAAGTATTTGTCTCTCGCCGAGACGAACTGGAAGAGTATTTTCGTCGCGTAGTTAACGCATCGAATATTTATATCCTTTTGAAAAATGTCTCCCTTTTTTTTTATGACGAGGAAAGGGAAAAAGATTATTATTCGATCTTGCGAGCGCTTATGTCGCCATGGCGAAATAAAATCACGTCACTCCCGCGATTTAATAAAAAGCACGCGACCAGGCCGGGAAATGTTTACGCGTTTATTTCGTGATTTTATTGAAAGCTTGTTTAATAACTGCGCATCGAGGTGGAACACTGTCTGACATACATTTAGCGGAATTAATATGCACGCGTATGGAACGTACGAATCGAATAATTTTCTAGACTGTTCTTGTGCAATTTCGATCGCTGATTTTCCACTAAACATGTAATATTGCAACGATGCTTCAGGGGAGAAGGGAAAATTGCAATTATACGTCTCAAAGCTGGATACGAAACGTGAGGAGAAGCAATCGAAGATACAGCGATGGAGATCTCTCTTTTTGCTTTCCGCTCGCTCTTGTAACACGTAACTTTGACAAATACACCAGGTTTCTCTGAACTATACCTGTTGGATAATTAAACTTTCCCCTTTCGCTCCAATCGAACGTTTCGCTTAACGAACCGGTTCGGTCGATTTGTTCTCCGCTTTCGTGTGTCCAATATGACAATAAACTAATAAAAGAAGTATTCGTCGACGTACTCGAATGTTCGCGCTCCGATTCCTGGTATCCATAATTTAACTCGGCTGCACTTGGATTTTGTTTGACAAGCGTCACCAATATACACGAATTCTCTCGCAACGACGACCTTCGCTCGTATTAAATTAATCGTACAACACCTAGTGCGAAGGTAACTAAAATCGACGATGACGAATCCCGAGGTAGCTGCCTTGAATTGGATTTTAAACGGCAAATCCACGCTGGCAACGGCACGTGCCATCTTTCGGAATAGGATACTTTCTGAATGTCTGTACGAGACCGCTGCATCTTCTCCGATTTGAAAGGGATACACTCGGGCCTGTTCCGTATGGTATTCAAGGGTAGGAACGAAGGCGTACGGGGCTTCGTCTGGCCGTATATTTCCACGTTGGAATAGAAACTGTACGAGGGATCAGTTATTGATATTTCTGAAACGGCAGATAAAACTTTTCCCTCTGTCTAGCAAGCCTGTCGTATATCTTTCGTTTACCGATCCGCCTTTGGAGAACAGCAATACCATAATCGAGATAGGGGATGATGTATTTCAGCCTTAACTTTCGCGTCATTCCAGCCGGCGATAATGTTAAAAAAAGAAGTTAACAAACGAAGGGAGCAACGTAAGAGGGTGTTTGCACGGCTAACGCTTAGAGGGATATAACGCTGAATGAAATTCAGAGCAGAGACGCCTTGATTATTTCACAGAATAAGATTGATAAGGTAATCCCGTTTTGTATCTTTATAAGTTCTTCCCTTTTCACCGTCTTTGCTTTCTTGCTGCCTGATTCCTCTATAAAACGAGACGTATAATGCGATTGTACTGTAATATCACGAGCGAACAAAAACCCCGTACTTTCTATGAATTAAAATGTAAAAGGCAAAGAGAAGGAATAAATGATACACTGTTAACGACGCATCCGTGTTCCTTTTTAGCAGTTCGTTTCATTAGATACAAAGTAAAACTGGATATCGCGGTGCAATAACGTGCGCGGGCTACCCATTCTTTCTCTTTTCGCGCGATATTAATTTATCTTTGAGGAAATCGATGGAAATAAGCGGAAATGAGAATAATCAAGGGAATACTAAAAATATCTAGATATACTAGCCCTCGGGCTATCATATTGCAAGGTGTTAAATTAAAGCATTTAAATCATGGCACGAACTGATGCAGTGATATCTGGTTGCATTTAGTATTCTATCTTTATCGATAGAGATTGGATCGGGATCGGAAGTTTCTTTAATTTTAAATGAATTCTCGAGTTCTCATCTTCTGCAGTTTCTGTCAATTTGCTTGCAATTATTCTAATTAAATAGCAATCAGTATAATTCAACGGTAATTCATTATTAGTATTCTTAATTTCGAAGAGAATAGATAATTTAATAATTGCAACGATCAGAGGACGTCATATGTGCAGATCAAGAGCAAAGAGTTTTTGAACGCTGTTTTCTTTCGCAAAAATGAAAAGATTCGCTAGAAAGCAACAGGAGGGCATCGAAAGCAACTTTGACAGTAACAAAAGTTACGCAGAATTTTAAGAACAAAAGTAAAAACAATGTAAGGATACAGTAAAAAAAAATTCTACCAACAAAAAGCAGTAGAAGAACAGCGAAGAAGAAAGAGCAATAAAAGACGCGATGGCGTACAAGATAAGAAGTTATATGTATATAAAAAGTAGCGAACAAAAAGAGAAATATGTGTAATTGAAACGATTAGTCTTGTGACCTTTCGATGATTAAAATTTGAAGACCATTAATTACTCGTGTCCTCGTTCATTCGTCTAAATGGCTGAAACGCGTTGAAATTCGTTACATTGCTCGAAAGCTATTTTACTCAACTCATCTTGGTATAAAAAACACTCGTTAAATATTTTATATACGAAGTCATACGTTTATAGACGAAAAAATTAAATTTTTAAGTGTAAATCAATATTCTACTAGCTAATATAAATTCATATAAATTATCATATAATTATTGGAACAATACTATTTACTTATATCGCTGTTATTCTTTAAACTTTTATTCGTATTTCGATTATGCATGCCTACATTAGTACTTACGTTTATATAAATAATTACATTACGTAGAATATGTGTCGATAAAGATGAACGCTGCGGACGTTCGACGTTTGGAAATTTTCCCGCCGGTGGCGCTGAAATCGTATTCACCCCCCTTTCGTCGCTTTCTATAGGTTCGAATGGCTGGACGAACCGCTAGTCGAGTTAGTACGACTCGTGACGTCGCGGTAGTTGGCTGTTCGTTTCTTAGTGTTCGCGATATCGTCTCGTCGGCGATGTGACCGGTTTTGAAAGTGACGTGCGATTTTTCGTACACATTATTACGCGTTTCGAAGCGGTCGATGGTTTACTGGTACGACGATAATTTCAAGTTCGTTAATGTAAACGCGGGGAACGCGAGATACGTCCTTGCTAGAAAATTTTGGCGTCACGTTCCCCTCGCGAGGATTCCATCACCCACTTACACGACCGGCTGTAGCTCTCGAAAGGATCTTCCGGAATACATCGCCGTTCGTTCTTTTGTTCGTTCGATATCCGTCGATGTCGTTGCAACATCTTAAGTGCAACGACGATTCTCGTGGATCTTTGGTTACGCGTTCGGAGTGCGGGAACGATATTACGAAGCGACATTCGAACACGTTCGGTTGTCTCAATTATTCGTGCTTCTAGTTGGATGGTCAGTGTTTAACGGCGTGTCAAGCGACCGGCTAATTAATTGCTCGTTGTACGATCGGAGCGACTGACATTCGTCCCGAACGTTTAGGCAGGAGGCGTTGCTGTTACATAGGCACCTAAAAAAACGGCATTACGGCCTGAAGTTGACGCATTGGCGATCGCGCGCGCGCGCGCCTGATCGGTTACTCCAGTGTAAAAGAATTTACGTCGTTAGGTCGAATTACAAACGCGAGTCCTGCGGCGAAAGTGAGCAACGGGTTGAGTGTACTAGTCCATGAGAGTGGATCGCAAATAGGGAACAGAAACGCGGAGGCGTGTTCTCTCGACGAGAGTCTCACGGAATCGGAGTGCTTCCAATCGAGGACGAAAGAAAGAAGGCCGGTGAAACATGTCGAGGCTGCTGAAAGGCGAACCGACGGGCGGTTATATCATTGACTCTATCGTGGATCGTCGAATGTATTAACCGGCCGCAAATGACGCGCATCGTGGCGTGAACGAAGAGAAGAAAGAGACGGTGGCGGAGGACGAGCACACTGGACACGTTTCGGATTTAAACGGGGGAACAGTTTTCTGATCTAGCCAAAGAAAGAAAAGCAGGCCAGGCGTCGTGCCTCCCACTGCCTACCGGAAGTCATATGCCCATACACACGCGGAAAACGGTAAATCATCGTAGAAGCCATCGGCTATAACGAGCGTACACGTTTATTTTGCATTGGACCGAAGCACGCCTGCCCCCTTCACCTCTGTCTGTTTTGTTTTGCTTGGTTCGCCTACCGTCATTGTTTCGCCTTTATTTGAGGTATGTAAGGAACAAACAAAAATAAACATTTCTTTGCCTGTGACTCGTATAAAGCATACGTCGCTCGTTGTCCATTTTTACTCTTCTATTAGTATATGAAAATAGTGTTCGTTAATTCTCCACATCAATGTCAGGGTTTCAATGATTTACCTGTTCTATTACGCGTATATTTTTAACGATGACATAGGAACGCGAATCGAACGAATTTTTCGACGTTTCGGCTCGTATCAATCGATGCGCTCCGTTCTATGGAGATACGAGCGTCGTTACGTCGTTAAAATTTTTTTTATTTGACGTATGCGTTATACCTCGTTTCTAGATCGCTGCTTTTTATATAATATGTATAAAATAAGATAGAAATCGATGTTCACGAGCGGAGAGATCAAAGCGAGGAAAAAAATTGGGCGCGCTGGGCGGTCGGTATTCCGCTCGTATTCTCGCTCTGATAAGTTTCGAGCGTGAAGCGTAAAAAGTTCGACGCACAAAGTGTAAAGCTTTAAAACGGCATGGTGTAAGCGTTACCATACGATTTTCAATTTCTCTCGTTCCCCAACTTGCTCCTTGAGAGATTCACTATTCCGCATTCTCGGGATTCTTGCAACTCCAATTTCAACTACAGCCCTGCGGTGTTTTCCTGATCCGTTAGAAACATGCCTGAATCACGTACGGTATCCCATTCAACTTCATCGCCTTATTTTCCCGCTACCATCTTAAAGGGTCACGTGACCGTAGAAACAGGACATTAGATGGCGTTTATTTTTCGCGGTATTTCGCCGCCCTCCATATTTCTCACAGTCTTTCTCAATTCTCGGTCGTATGTGCCGTTTCCGTGAAATTTTGCGTGTTCGTGCGATAATTCGTTATTTATACATTGTATTCTGCTAGGTTTAAGTTAGTATGACGGTCACCGAGTATTTCTTGCAAGCGACATGTGGCAGTTTTGCATATTCGTGCGAGAATTGATTGTTAATTCTTCGAATTAGATTTGACTATATACTATGACCACCGCGGACTTCTCCTAAGCAACACGTACTATGTAACGTTTTGAAATTTGATTATTTACAAAACATGTAAAAATATGTGATAACGTCTGAAATATAAATTTCGATAAAACAAAATTGCCAAACATATCAAGTACATATTATCTGTTCTTATCGTTAGCGAAGAATATACTTTATGCAGAAAGGACAGTTCTTTCCGATTCGTCGGCAATGTGTTAAGTGATCACGTGACAGCGGGAGTAAAACATTAGATGGCGTTCTTTTTGCGGCATTTCAACGCCTTCGTGTTTTTCAGTCTTTTTCAAGCTTCGGTCGTTTGTGCCATTTCCGCGAAATTTCGCGTGCTCGTGCAAGAATTCGAACTCATTAACGAAGGAATGATCGCGTGAGCACGAGGCTGTAAAACGAAGAACCAGCGGATCCACGTCGTCGTGTAATACAATACACTACACGATTACGAATTATTGGACAAAGGGTATACCGGTCGATGGTGGAGTATCGACGTTGTGCTGCAGGTACGAAATGATCTGGAACTCGGAGCGATGTGTATTTCCTCCCCTCGTTTCTCGTGTGCGACGGCTGTTTTCTTTTTCCTGTTCCCCACCTCTCACCTTGCTCTCTCGTTCTCCTTCTGTCCATCCTTCTTCCCCTTTCCGCCTCTTGTTCTCTCTTTCGGGCCATAAACAACCGGTGCTCGACGTTTGCCGAGGTTATTGGTTTTTGCGAGGGGCACGACAGTGCCGTATACATGCGTCTGCGGGACCCGGCTTCACAGACGAGACGCTGTACTTTCTATCTCTCTCTCTCTATCTCTTTTCTCCTTTGTTTTTGTTTCCTGTATCTTTCTAACGTTCACGATCATCCCCCTTATATCCCTGCTTAGCCTATGTGCATGCATTACACAGGCGATTCCGTACATAGATAGGCGAATACAAAGAGAGACGTAAGTACACGGCGCGTGTTCACGTGGGCAGCGGTAAAATTCGCACGAGACTAATTCCCAGAGACAAACACTTTAATTATAACGCTGCCGTGCGCGTATACCTAAGTACGCGCTGCACGATCACGATATCGACGCTTTTATTAAACACGAGCACCTTCGACGATGCGAACGCTATTATCGGATTACCGGCGGAGCGTGCCGTGCGTACGGTCGAATTTCACATAACCAAGTACAACATACGTATGACCTATCGTGCTTTTTAGTAAAGTCATTTTTTCCTTCATTCAGATAGGTATTTACTTTTTTCCGATAGACAGCTTCTATACCTTTTTTCTCCGTTGAAAAAGCGGAAACTGTTTCCTTGTGTCATTAGGCACGAAAAGGTTAGGTATGAAGAAAAGATATTAACGAAGGCTCCGCAATGGTATAGGTTAGAATCTACTGAAATGTAGAATAGAATCGAAGAGTCACGATATTTACGAGCACACTCGCAACACATTCGGGATTAATGGAAACGTATTTTGGCGCGTCACGGTGTCATCTATTTCGTCAATATTATATCCGTGTAAGAGTACTATTGCGTGTTAGTACATATAACCTTTGGATACTGTGCCAAGAGTATTACGTATTGTACGTCGTTCCTTATACTAACCTGACTGAGGCCAATACACATATATGGACGGATGTATATGGAGATGGACTATTGACTCTCGTAGGCGTATTTGGTTACAGTGTTCTCCGGTGAATGTTCACAAATGTAAGATTGTGTTTCTGAGATCACTGTAACCCAGATACCGTACCGAATCAACAAGTATCGTGTTGTCGATTTGTAATGCGGATCGTTGATGGAAGGAGGGACGCGGGGGAGTTAGAGCGATCGGAGGAAATTCCACGCGATGGAATGGAATTAAGAATTGCAAGTATTCCGTGTTTAGCGAGCACGAAATATCGTAGCTACAGTGAGACGTCTTGCGTTAAACGCTGCACGCGATAACCAGCGATAAAAACCGATTTTAAAAAAGTAACAAACGTCCGTAGATAAATTGGATGACTAGTGGACAACGAAACGAAAGGTTTGGAATGTTCGTCGATTTTACCGTGACCGTCGAAGGGTTAATTCAATTATACTGACCGGCACGAACATCGAGCCCTCTCGTTTCCTCCCCATTTTTCCATTTTCTTTCGTTGCAACGCCGTTGTTGCGTGTACAACCGTGTCAATTTTTTTCTGCTGCTGTTACATCCGCCCCCATACATCTATCGGGTACACGACAGGGACGCACGTGCACCAAAGCCAAAAAAACATTGGCTGCACTTTCTGCATCGTCGTCTCGTTGATCCGTACGCGTCACGTAGGTGGCCAGGGTATACGTATACCTACATATCCTGGTACTGAATTTCGGGAATAATGGCGGTACCGCGTCACGCCGTCGATTCATTTTTACCCAATTTCACGCACCGGTACACCACGACCCACCGCCCGGTCGCAC